TTCACCTGAAACGATCAATTGTTCTGGTACAGAATAGTGATTTGCCAAAATATTACTTAATATTATATTTTTGCATATAGGGTTATTAAGAACTGGATAAGGGTAGGGGGACCTTCGTCTATAAGAATCAAAAATTTATCTGAATTAGAAATATTGAATACCACCTTAGATTGTAAAAAAAATGACTCAAGATTGCTCAGTCTTCTGAAAGAGCATACATGTTCTTTTACGTGAATTTACTTAAATAGACAAATAAAAATCTATATATAAAGTAGTAATCTTGGTTTGTTTGGTTGTATGTCTAATCATAACTCAGGAACCCCTTGACCGATTTGCCTCAAATCCAGGGGAATGTTCTAAGCTTGGTTTTTAGATTCTAATTTGAGTGGGTTGACTTGAGTAGGAAAACATCCAGGCAAAGCTGGGTTCCAATGCTGATTGGTAAATGTTATGGGAAACAACTATGCTGATTCTGACTTCTTTATAAAGGAATTGAGTCTTTGCCACAAACTATGATTTTCTTATCAATATTTCTTCACAACCCAAAGTCGTAAACTTTAGATATTTCAAACTATGAATTCTGTTGGATCAAAGAATCTAAGTTTGAAACATAAAAGGCCTACACTATTAGGTTGCACAGATATAGGGATTAGAAAATTAGAGTTTGTTGCAAAGATTCAATTCCTTTTGGTGATCGAACATACATCATCTCAATTTCAATCGTGAAATCTGAGCTTTTTCCTTTATCATGTTTTGCAAGGCCCATTATTTAAAAAAATAAGCTCAGCACCCTTTGGGAGCCTAAAAGCCCTCTAGAAAATTGAGAACTATAGATTTTACTGGTCCGGGGGGGGATGACTCTATATATAGCCCCCCTCCCCTTGTGTACGCCTCTGTTTCTCATTATATAGTTTGTGACTTATTCTCCAAAAATTACAACGCACTACAAATTCTAATTTATTACAAATCCTAAATAGTTTGCATCTCTTAATTTCGTACGCTTAATTTAAAGAATGCATGCGTATATATGCGTACCTCTCCCACCTTGCCCGGGTTAGATAAAGCCCCCCCCCCCCTTCTCGCTGTGTTTCATTTATATAACATCTAAGCGTGGGTCTGTTTAAATGCAGTTCATGCATTGGATAATTCGGAAAATATTCAATTTACACAGTACACTGCTAACACACCTCCATCTTGTTTATCCTCCAAATTATTTCACTAAAAATGTTTTTCAGTTAAGTTTCCTTTTTTAAATTGAAAAGAATTTAGATATATAAAGAATACATTGCCAAACACCAAGATAAAAGTACTGGATTGAAAAATTATCATTGTAAATAATTAACATCAACCTTCCCCACTTCATCCCGAGTGGATTGCAAAAAAGGGAAAAAATATCCGGAACAATGATCCAAATGAGATGATTTTATAAGAAAATTTCGACATTATTGGATGACATGCTAAAATAAATACACAAAATTGAAAATTAGAACAGACATACGTATCGTATGTCGATAAACTCCAAAAGCTTACAAAAAACAACAAATTAATCGAAATGGGTCAGAGTGCACACTACATAGTACACACTGTATTATTGACCAATTATTAATATTTTTATACCAAAATAGGTCAGAGTGCACACTACATAGTACACACTGTATTATTGACCAATTATTAATATTTTTATACCAAAATAATGTTATGTCTTAACAATTTTATATATTGCATTCCACATTATTTTTTGCTTCAAATTTTGTTAAAACATATTTTTTATTATTGACAAATTATTAATATTTTGTTTAACTTATAATTCCTTGTGAAAAAAAAACATTAATTATGTAAAATGGCTGGGTTTTGTTTATGTTTATTTAACAATTTTCTATATTTTGAGGTCATTGCATTCCACATTATTTTTTGCTCCAAATTCTGTTAAAACATATTTTTTTATTACTGACAAATTATTAATATTTTGTTTCACAAGGCTTGGGAAAAAAAACACTAACGAAGTGAAATGGGTCTGTTTTAGATGTATTTAACAATATTCTGAGTTTCGATGTTCGCTTCGAATTCTTTTAAAAAATAGTTTTTCTTTTTTTCATCTTTTTACATTTATTAAAGCTATTGTTGTCCCTCCGTCCCCCTGTTTTTGCAACACTTTAATGATTTGTGTGATTGTTATTGGCTTGGTTTTTATTATCATCAGATATGAGATATTTGCATAATAGTGAAGAATTTATTATACAACATCAAACACAGTGTTTGGATTTATTAAATAATCTCTTTGACTACCTTTACCTTTTATTATTATTATCACTATTTTTATTTTTATACTTTTTTGCTTTTTCTTTTATGCTTTCATGGACCAGATTTAATGAATAAGGAGACAATTAGTTGATCCGCGTTGACTAAGTTGAACCACTTTTCTTTAGTACCGTTTCAAGTTCTAGAGTAACGATTCAACCAACTATGTCTGACTCTGCGCGCAGTTCAACTACATCTTGCGTTATATTCAATCTGGTTCAAGGTTAATTCACGTAAAATTAGCATTTGGGTTGAAATCTTGCGTTAGTTTTTAATCCACAATTTGAAGACTTATTAAGAGGGACAAAAAAGTTTTGAATTTTGAATGCAACAAAAAGAATTTGCTTAACTCATACTTGAGCTTAATATGATAAAACAGAGATAGGAGCTTCGAGGTCGCAAAGTTATAATTTTCGTCCATTTGACAGTTCACTTAGTTTTTAGATTGGAGGGACTTTCTTGCATTAAATTCTTATTTTAGAAATTAATTGGATTGAAATAAAATGGCGTAAACAGGACTTTGTCCTCAAACAATATATCAGATCCCATGATTTCATAATCTTATATTCTTGCTGAATTTAAACAAAATAACTGCAAAGTAAATTTTTTAACAAAATGTTTTTTTGATGTGTAAAAATTAGTGGGTTGTGGGGGCCGGGGGGGGGGAATTGAAAAAATAAAGTTTAAACTTATTGTAATTTATGTTCTTCAGTTTTAAATATATTCCCACTTTCATAATTGCTTTAATTTCACACTAGTTCTTCTCCATATTGTGTATTTGAAATTGTTTATTACTTCTCTTAATTTTTTGGATTTGCATGCTATTATTGAATTAAATAAGGACCGGCTTTGTTTCTGAATTCTACTTAAAAGCCCATTATAGTTTGTAATTTGCTACTCTTGGAGGATTTTGTAATAGCACATTTTTTACGTGACTATTGTAATTTTATCTAACAATCTAGGCATGCTTTAGTATAACTGTCTCCTAATAAAATGCGGGAAAATAAACGGCGGCAATTTGCTCAACATGGCGGCATAAAATGGCGGCATACTTGACCGCAGATCCGGTTAGCTATCTCTACTAACTATCTGGCCCGCTTTCTTTTAACGATTTTAATTAGCAAGAATACCAGATGTTTTGTAACATCCTCGTAATTAACTAGAAATATATATATATAAATATATATTGTAAATTTTACACACAAAATTGTGTGTATATTTACATGCACAAGATGCCCCGGTCTGTGTACAATTCATTGAAATTGTACAAAAAAAGATTGTTCTGTATGTCGTGTAAATCCTATTTAAAAATGATTTTTACTTTAAAACTTGGAAACAATCCCAGTTTACATAGTTTACACCCTGTCAAGATTTTATATTAAAAAAAACGTGTTTAGCCGGTTTTAACATATTTTTGTTAATAACTTCTCCCAAACCAAAAACATGCTTGAAAACGTAGAAAATGTTGAAATGAAAAAAATTATAAGGTTTTTATGTGCTGAAAGTTTGGCACATTGGAGGGAGAAATGAGTCGTTTGTAATGTTTTGAAAGTTTTATTTTTTACTTAATAACTTTTAAAGAAATGTTTTATTTTTAACCAGATTCAGCCGAAAACGTGTCAAATTACTTGGAATTCAGTCAAGGTTTTCCTGCTTCTCCATCAAGTTTTTCTAAATGTAGATCTAAATAAGTAAAAGTTTATTTTTGGTTAATAAAAAATCACTTCCAATTCATTAAACTATTTTACTTGAGGAAGTTGGAACGTCAATTGTTGTTCAATTCTGTCAAATTCAGATCATTTTTTTCATATTTATTGTTGGTGTTTGTTCAAACGATAAATTAAGTTGACTGCCGATGTTATTTCCACGTATAAAAAAAAATATATTTTGATCTGAGTTGACCCTTAATTCTGATTATTCTGATGAGTTGACCCTTCAGATTTGTTTCTGTCAGGCAGAATTCAAATATGAACGTAATTTTCCGTGACTCCTAATGAGAAGATCAATTTAGATTAACAAGTTAACTTTGGGGGGAGATAATTAAAAGAATTTAGTCTTTGGGAAAAACCTAAATTTTTAATTCCTATAAATAATCCATTCAAAATTCGGTGATGGTGATGGACCAAACCTCTGTAAATAAAAAAAATAGATGTTAGTTCCACATCTATTGAAAATATATATCGGTCTGGGTTCTTGTGATTGTTTCTTCACAAAGATTAAAAACAATAATCCTAATGAAACTAAACCTTGAACATATATTGAAACAAGCACAAGAACAGTAACTGAACATCTGATGTAACAAGGACAGCAACATATATAACTGAACCCTAACCATGTTCAAGAACTTGTCATATAAAACAAAACATGAACTATAGTACAAGAACATAACAAGAATATGAATATTGTACTATGAACTAGAAATAATTTACTCCTAATCATGAACTAGAACTAGCAACTAGAGAATAATACCGAACTTGAAGGAAATGAGCCTTTGCCACAAACTCTCATTTTCTAATCTCTTTATCTTTGCTACCTGAGGCTGATAGTGCAGACCTTTGATATTTCAAACTTGGACTATATAATCTAATATAATTCTCGTTAGATTGCTAAGATATAGGTATTCGAAAATCAGAGGTGTGGCGAAAACTTATTTAGAATAAAAAAATATGGATTTCCAGATTTTTAACGAATGATATTTTCAGTACGAGATATCCAGCTCCTGAGAAACCAAGACAAAAACGAGCAGTTATCCAGGTATAGGCTCACAACAAATCATGAGATATCAGAGACGACATTTTTAACTTCTCTGATTGATATCGTACACCAAATCCATTTGTATACAAATAACAACACTTAACTTTTTTCATTCAACCGACAAACTAAATTACTTGCCACCCTTCCCCCCNATCTACTCTGTCAATGTCACCCCTGAACTTTCTTGTAGCATTTTTCATAATTCTCCGTATTTCCCTGACTAGGTTAAATGATGTGTAAAAGTAGGGGACGATCTTCTATCATCAACTATCAAGCTTATCAATGTTTTATATATATTTTATCAATGTTTTATATATATTTTATCAATGTTTTATATATATTTTATCTATGTTTTATAATATTTTATCTCAACTCAAAGCATGAAACAGAAGGTGTGAACATGTAATATTGCTTTAACTCAAATTCAACCCATTCTAATTTTTTTTTTACATTCAAATAAAGGAATAATGGAAAATTTTGAATTTGCTATCGACATTTTGGATCAACTTTTTGCATTCTTATATTTTCAATCTAACTCTTGCAATAAATCCAACTACATTGAACACAATCCAACTACATTGAACACAATCCAACTACATTGAACACAATCCAACTACATTAAACACAAAAAAATGTTATTTAGATAATTTTCATCTAACATTTCTAATTCAGTAAACCATTCGAAATTCCAAATTTAAAATACAAAATAAATGTTGAAATATTTCGTAAGATAACATTTTTTTAGTCTTGGCTTACATTTCGAAATGGCCTGTCTTGAGCCCAATTATTTTTAATTATATTTTAGAAATTAATCTATATTTTCTATTTTTAAAATCCTAGTTTTTCTTTTCTTAACTTCACATTTTATTTTAAATAATTTTATCAAAGAAAATGTTTCACGTATATATATAGAACCATCCTATCTATTTATCTATATATCCATATCTATTAGCAACCATATGTTTGAATATCTATAAAGGATATGGTTCGACCTCTGAAACAATGGCTGTTGAGACACCGCCACAACCCCTACCCCAGCAAGGTAATTTTTTGAAATTATCTTAATGAACTTAACATTTACCTACTTTAATTTTCATATTGTTTTGAAATATTTACAACCTGATCATTAAAATGTGACTAAGAATTCTGCATAATAAATTATCAAATTTTGAAAATCAAAGTTTTAAATCATTAGGTTGCACAGATATAGAGATTAAAATAATTACTCATTTTTTTCAATTGGACTTTTTTATTTTTCACTCACCAAAAAAGTTCACGAAACTTTTCTTCTTGGGTTCTACAGAAAAAAATAACTGCGACATTGGCAGGATTTTTTTATGGGAACAAAAATAAAGTAGAAGTTTCTATAATATATATATTTAGTTGTAATATCTGTTTGTCTGTTTTTTTTGTATGTCCGATCATAACTCATAAACCCTTTGAGAGATTTGCCTCAAATTTTGATTGGGGAACTCGGGAGAACTACGGCAATGTGTTTAGCTTGGTTTTGAGATCTTAATTGATTGGGTCTACTTTTATAAGGAAAAAATGGCCAACATTCTAATATACGACCGAGCGCGGGTAAACGGCGGAAGTGACTATGAGTACCCATGACAACGCTGGGTTCTCAAGCTAATTTTACTAATTAATTAAATAATTTCAGACTGAGAAGGTTCAGCTTGCCTTGAACTCACAGATGAATCTTACACAGGTTATCCTTAAACATTGCATTATTAAAAGATACTGTAGACCTAATTTTAGAAAATTTTAAAATCTTAGATAGATAAACAAGGATAGCTCAATACTAATTTTAGAAAATTTCAAAGTTTCAGATAGATAAACAAGGATAGATAGCTCAATACTAATTTTAGAAAATTTTAAAGTTTCAGATAGAATAAACAAGGATAGATAGCTCAATACTAATTTTAGAAAGTTTCAGATAGAATAAACAAGGATAGATAGCTCAATACTAATTTTAGAAAATTTTAAAGTTTCAGATAGAATAAACAAGGATATCTCAATACTAATTTTAGAAAATTAAAAAAACAAGGAGAACTAAGTACATGTTGTCCAGGCAAAAGGGTTGAACTATGCCGTTTTGAACTAGACAATCAACTGTTAAAATAAAGGATCAATAGTCCATGTACAATTAACTACAAAAAATTACGCCCTGTTTAAATGATGTATTTTGAGTAATTTTTTCTCCTTTAAATAAATCCGTTAAAAACTTTGTTTACTTTCTATTTAAGATATATAGGCCAACCATAAAGTATAAATTACAAAATTTATCAGTTGAAATGGGTTCCAAACTAACTAACTAACGTAATATCCAGGACCCTTAGTTTACCGTGCGTCAGCCCTAATCCATCCTTCCCTTCGTTTTTTCATTTCTTTATAATTTAAATAAATGCATACTTTCATTCAAAGGACTTGAGTCTTTTTCACAAACTCAAATTTTCTAATCCTTATATCTCAGCAACTTGATGGTGCAAACCTTTGATATTTCAATCCTAGATTATTTGATCTATTAGAATTCATAGTTTGAAATATATTCGGTATTGGGTTGCAAAGATGTAGGGATTAGAAAATTTGAGTTTGTGGCAAAGACTCAAATCCTTATTAAAAGTAAATCGAACTCATTCTCTCCTGTTAGGAATTAGAAAATTTGAGTTTGTGGCAAAGACTCAAATCCTTATTAAAAGTAAATCGAACTCATTCTCTCCTGTTTCATGATCACTTGATCCCCCCCCCCCTCCTCACCCATTTCTTAAATTTCTAATTACTGCTGCTTCAAACGAGAACAAAATAAACTTTTTTATTTATATTTTGTTTAAACTTAGAAAATTACAGTTTAATTAAAAGCAGGTCCGTCTAATTTTCATTAATCTTTATCAGGTTATTTCAAGTGAATCTGCATGCAAAGATTCCCAAGTTAGCCAATTAAATTCTTCATCTGAAAAATAATATGGAAGATTTTGTCTTTATTTAGTTTGAACAGTGTTTAAATCTGATCATTACCATATGTTTTCCTCCAGCAGAAATGCCTAAGTCACGGTTGTAGAGAAACCACTATTGAAAATAATAATAGTAATCTTAATTGTAAACATTAAGGTTCCATTTTGAATCAAGCATTGCCATCTTTGTATGGAAGGTTAATCGAAATTACACTTACAGTCCCTTTAAATCATTTAAAATATTGTTATTGGGTTTAGCTAAGACTCATATATTAAGATTATGAGTTTGAAAATGTATGCTTTAACCATAATCAAGTTTAAGCACTACTTTAGTATTGCGTAATTTTGTTATAAATTGATATATCAGGATTGGGGATTTTTCCACTGCGTGGCAAATATATTCGCACTTTCTATCCTAAAGCTTCTTAAACTGGTTTACAAACATATTTTTGCATTGTCTATAATTGAATAGAACTTTCTCCGGAGTAAAGGTTCAGAACAGGTTTTCACAAATAGATTTGCAATCTCTCCTCGAGAAAACAGGTGTGCAGTATTATTTTGCACACAAGTTTACAAGTATTATACAGGGTAAGCGAAAATTAAATTAAGTTTAATATACTGGATCGCAAAACAGTTTTCTTTTTGTGCCTAAAAGAATGTGAATTTTCGTTTATATTTTGCAAATACACATATCACAATGAACAATTTATAGAGACGGAGACATTTATTTGATCTTAAAGTGTTTTATAATAATGTCGCCTATTCCTACCCGAATTCATCTATAAAAATAGGAAGTACAAATAATTCTGTTAAGTTAGTACTCACTAAAATAAAGCTGTTTACTTATATATACATACATGTCCAGTAAGAAGCTGCATTAAATAAGCATTGGAAAATGTTCTGAACTTATTTTAAGAAGATATGTATATATTATAATATACTTTTACCCCATATTGAGATGACTACATGTATCCCCTACCTATATTTAATATTCCCCTAGTCAGTAGATCCACCAGAATTTGTGTCTGCTTTATTTACCCAATGTCTATATATATATTCAAGTTTTTAAACTTGACATTTTATTAAAAAGAATTATACTGAACATAATGTTTCACGTCTCTTGACAATTCTAAGTAGTCAAAATTCTTTGAACAAAATATATATATATATATATATATATTTACATATATAAGTAAACCACATATTATTTTCCATTTTCCTGTTGTTCAGATTGTTTCATGTTTTAAACACTCCCCTGCAGTAGTTGAGTTGTATTTGAAATATAAATGTTAGCTATAGCCGGCCAAGTTGCTGGACGAAATTGCACTGCAATTTTTTAAAGATGCTAAAACAATATTGATTTTTTTTCTATAAAATTCGATTTTTTTCCCTCTACGGTTTTATAAAATCACATGGTCAGCAGCAAACACTTTTGATTTTCGGCTTCTTGATTGAACTTTGATTGACCTCAAAGAATAGGCTACCTCAATATAAACGACTCCTCATTTTCGTATCATGACAGAAACTTTTATATTTTAAATTTTAGATTTTTTGCTTTCCAAAAGTCGACATTATATGTGACATATACCTCATTTTTCTAACCTCGATGTGAATCGTTTACGAAACTTTAAACGGAAAGATGTATAGATAAAGATAATTATCTTATTTCTATCTTAGGATTTGTCAGCCAAGATGGCATAAAGTTGCGAATGGAAACCATGAACTACGCGATGATTTTTAAAATGATAAATTTTTACATTGAAAGATTAAATAATCAGAAGATAGAATTATTTCTTGACCTTGAGGATGCCCTTGAAGTCTTTCAAGAAATTTGAAGAGTTTTTTTCGCCTAGATACATAAGAATAGATTGTCTATGAACACTGAAAAACTGAAAATTGTACAACCCCTTGTACATCATGAACTCGTGAAACAAAAGGTCAATGAATACTATTAACTTCTCAGGGTCAATCTGTAGAAAACTAACTATTAATTACTACTTAACCGGGAGATTAAGGGAGGATAATTAAATTGAGGGGAAAACCACTTAGCCGAGGGCCTCCAAGACCTTTTTGGGGTTCTAAACCTCACGAGCGTAGCGTTCAACGAAATAACCAACCTTAAATTCCCTCCTTTTTTAATTCCAGGGAGGATAATTACTTATCCTCCCTCTGTGATCCATACAGATTTATCAAATAAATAGTTCTCTAATTTAATTTTATATTTACATTTATCACTCTCTTAATCATAAAAAAGGAGGGAATTTAAGGTTGGTTATTTCGTTGAACAGGAGATTAAAATTTTAACTGATCAGTATCTTGTCATTCTGAATTGTGATAAGTATTACTTGTCCTCTAAACAAAACAGAACATCCCATACATTTGTCCTGAGTTGAAACAATACTTGTCCCATTTCTTTTTATTTATTGTACTGTATATACGTAGCTAGTACAGAGTTAAATTCATTTTTTCAATTTCAACTGAATTACACTCCGGTGGAGACGACATGAGCTATCTAGTCTAACTTTTTAGGGTTTCTTGTCTATAATTAAAGCCTCATTTATTTTTAGTTTACCCTGTACATAAATTACGTATTATTCAGGTTGCGAATTGGTTTGCGAATGCGAGACGACGTCTGAAGAATGTTGTACACGAACCACGGTGCTCTTGGTCTAAACGTCTACGCTTGTACAACAAATATGTACAGGTACGCGTTCACCCATGTATTTAAATACAGTTAAATATTCATAAAACAAAATTTGATATTCAGTAAATTGTGTATCTTTAAAAAGGTTTTTGAAATTTTACTATAATTTTAAACACATTTCATACATACAGGGCACAGGGTGTTCTAAAAACATGAGTATTTAGTGACGAATTCGAGATCGTCTTTTTAAATGATTTTAGATTAGTGATGCCTACTGATAAATCTGTAATCTAAAAGTTTCGTCTGCTTGAGTTTAGATTTGTTTGTTTATATTTTGATTGCAAGCTGTTTACAAACAGTTCACATCGTTGTTCATCTTGCAGAAATGTTACAGACAAATCATGCAACCTTTTACCGTTTTCTTTTTCCCTCAACCAGACATTATCATATCATGTATTGTATTGCTTGTTAATAAGGCGATCTCGAATTCTTGACCCAATTCCAATGTTTTATCGAGACATCCCATGTACTTAAATTTCTACATAAATTAATTTCATTGACGCCCCTAGGCACAGCCAGACAATGAGCGAAAACCCGCAAACCTTTATTGTTTATTTATAGTTTGGGGGCTTTTTAGCCAAATATTTCAAATATTGAAAAATAGTAGAATCTGTAACTTTTTATTTATATAATATAGATGAATACAGGAGGACCCAGAATTGACTGCAAGTATCAATTCTGGGTCTAATTACTCTTTCAAACTAATATCCCCTGAAAATCCCCTCTGTTTTGAAAAGATGAAACAGAAACAAAGATAAGATTTAGGATCATGGATCAAAATAAACTTTTGAATTGGAATTGGGATTAGGATCAGGATCAGGATCAGGATCAGACCAGACGTTCTTATCTTTTAATGGTTCAAGAAGTAAAAATAAGAGAGAAGAAAAATAATTCTAAAATTCTTCTTCTGTTAAAAAAATCAGTAAATTTAAAATAAATGTCTTGACCTAGATTTGGATCTGGATTTATTTTTTCCAGGATCCGGATCCGGATCTGCATCAAAATTAAATGGATCCTAAGCACTAATATCAGGATTCGGATCTAGACCAGGTTTAGGATCAGGTTGAGGATCGTGATTAGAACCATGATACGAGATCAATATCAGGATCTTGATTTGGATTATGTTATATGAAACCATGGAAAACATGAGAGGCGGGATGATTGTAAGAATAATATTTAGGGTAATGCTGAGCTGTTATCAATATCATCCGAGGATTCTATTTGGAACTCAGAGGATGAAGATGAGGATGAGGAGAGGCCAGGTACACCTTTCATTAAAGCTGTATCATTATTCATTACAGTTGTATCATTACTGTTGTATCATTACAGGTGTATCATTACATATGTATCATTACAATTGTATCATTACAGTTGTAATGACTGGACAAACTATTTGCTTTCTTACAACATTAAAAATTTCATTGGATAATCCTAATGAAGTCTTCATTGTAGGATAGGCGGGAATAACTCGAAACTCTGGAAAAGTAAAAACAGAGAAAATTACCATGTTTTAGATTCTGTTGGGTATGATGGCTCCGATCAAAGGCAAGATAATGGAGATAGAAAGGATCGGTACAGCAGAGAAGATCGTTACAGTGCAGATGATCAGTACAGCAAAGAGGATCGTTACAGTGTAGAGGATCGGTACAGCAGAGATGATCGGTATAGCAGGGAGGATCCTGGAGAATATAAGGAGGGAGGACATGTTTCGTCTGTTGTATTCAAACATCGTGAACGCGAGCATAGTTACTCTATACCAGGCTGTAGATCTTCATCAGATTCGTCCCAGCTGTCCACCCCTGACCAGGTCACGCCCTATGTGTCCCCGCCCTCCTCCCCGCCTACTCTTACTCCCCAGCGCCCGCTGACCCCATGTTCACCGGAACCTAGCTGTCCTGATACACCTAAATATAAGACAACTATGCTGTATAGATACCTTCAAGATGCTGCAGATGCTCAATCTAATCTTCATCAGGGAACCAGGTACACTTTAATATTTATCAAAGGCAGAATTAAAGAATTTGAACCTCGTCGCTGAACCGTCAAAAGCCGGTATCAATTGAGCGCCAGCTTAGATCTCGAAACATTTATCTAAATTTACAGCTAAATCAACCATGTTTGACGAGGTTCAAGTTCTTTAAAGACCGTTCAAGAGGTTTTATCTTGGGTCGCAACTTTTATATTTACAAAAAAAAACATAAATATTAGTCAGCTTTTTTCATAGATGAAGTACTATTCAGTTGAAATGAAATATATTATGCGTTGACACTTTCTTACTTAAAATTAAAAGTGAATATTCAGTTCAGCTTTTAATAGTTAAGGGATGCCCTGTGTTATTCAAAAGAAAAGGTCTTAGTAGTGAATACATTTACTCATTGTTTTCTCCGTTTGTTTGTTTTAGTAAACAACGTAAAATAATTTATTTTAAATGGATAAAAGTACGTAGAGTCTTATTGAGTACGATACCTGGAAATCTGGACAAAATTGTGCTGTCGGGATAGTAAAAAAAGAATGCCCCGCATAGATTTAAAAAATTTACTAATAAAACTGTGCGTCAAGATCTAACACTCATCACAAAATCGGATTTTCCAATCCTTATATCTTTGCAACCTAGAGTGTTGCAGACCTTTGATTTTTCAAACTTAAATTAAAAAGTTTAAGTTTAAATCTCCCGGGTTTGCACAATCAGGTGGGAAAGAAATAGGGAACAATTTCTTTTTCAATAATGTTAAAATGAAAATTTACGCCCAGATAAAATACTTTTTTTCCAGGTCTGATATTAAAGAAGAGGATGCGGATGAGTATGAGGATGAGGATGAGGATGATGTATCCAGGACTCCGGCCTCTAGTCCTAACCTCTCTAAGACAGGTTGTGACTCTCCTGGGACTGATTTACACTGTGATAACCTCAACTCTAGAAATACCCAGCATCAATCAATCAATCAATTAGACTCTAAACCCCCACAAGCAGAGCAGCGAACTTCTCTATATGATTTCATAAAAGGTGAAATTTTATTAAGAATTTTTTAATACTTTCACATTAGTACATCCAACATCCAACGTCAAAACCAATGAAAACGGGAATGAAACTTGTTTTTTATAAAGGGTTTTGAATGTTTAGTTAATAATAATAACCTTTACCAAATACAAAATCTTCAGTAAATATTACCAGAATTTGTGTCTGCTTTATTTACCCAATGTCCGGGCGATACAGTACAAACTGGGACCGGAAAGGTTGACCCGGCTCGGAAATTAAAATGTACTACGGCTGCCCGTGCTAATCTATCAAAGTAACCAATTTCAAATGACCCTCCATTTAGAAAGGAACATTGTCAGATTCACAATGGTACCCTTGTAACATTTATCTGATCAATAATGTGTGAAGATATCTTCATTTTTCTAGCTTGGAAAGTGTTAAATTTTAACAATTTTCTCCATTGCTTCTACAGTAGAAATTCAAAGATAAAACCACGATTAAAATTTTTTACATATTATATTTTTTGAATTTAACAATATTCTATAAATAATTCGATGTAAGTTCATGCATAGTAATTTCTTCCGCTGCATGGGGTTTGATATATTGTGTTCTGTAAGTTTCATCTTCTAAATCTAGACTCTTCAACATTCTTGCTCCTTGCTCTGTAATCTGATTCTGTTTCTTACATACACGTAGATAGGGGGGGGGGGAGAGGGATATCTCAAGCATGGAATTTATGAAATATGACAACTATCATAATTGGGGGTTTGTAAATTTTGCCATTCAATATAACTATACACCTTGAAGAATTTGAAATGAAATGTTTTTGGAATTGTAAAATATTTCTTTGTTGATATTTTTAGGAAAGAAAAAAGATTGTTAAAGGACATGGAATGGAAGAACTATTTCTAATTCCACTTACTGGAAGTGAAAAAGGTTCTTGGGGAAAATTCAATCAAATTTTATCTTATCAAAGGAATTGCATTTTTGCCACAAACTTAAATCTTCTGATTCCAATATCTTTGCAACCTTAAGGTGCAAACCTTTGATATTTCAAACTTAGATTATTTTATCTATTTGTATTAATAGTTTGAAATATCTAAGGTCTACGGCATTGGGTTGCAAAGATATAGAGATTTGAAAATCAGAGAACTCGGCGGAACCGCGGGAATGTTCTCAACTATGGTTAACATTCGTAGTTTAGTGGGGTCACTTTTTTAGGGAAAGTTTAGATTTCCAGACAAAGCCGGGTTTCCAATCTAGTTTGTTAGAACAACGAAAAAGAAGAGAAAGAGTAGAGGATGGCCTAAAAATATCAGAAGAAATAATATTTAAATGACAAGAAAATTAAAGTTATGTGGTAAAAATACAAAATATCAATAAATGACAAGAAAATAAAAGTTATGTGGTAAAAATACAAAATATCAATAAATGACAAGAAAATAAAAGTTATGTGGTAAAAATACAAAATTTCAATAAATGACAAGAAAATTATAAATATGTGGTAAAAATACAAAATATCAATATTTGACGAGAAAATAAAATTTATGTGGTAAAAATACAAAATATCAATAAAAGACAAGAAAATAAAAGTTATGTGGTGAAAATACAAAATATCAATAAATGACAAGAAAATAAAAGTTATGTGGTAAAAATACAAAATATCAATAAATCGGCATTCCCTGTACAAATGAATCATTTAATTTTATGGACTTGGATTCTTGTTAACTTGACACAGGGAAAACAGAGGGATATCCCCAGATATACAGCTAGATCAACAAAAGACGACAAATATAAATCTTATGTTTATTAGAGGTTGTTGCAACCTGCATTACCACACAGCTTGAAAATCAAATAATTTAGTGAAATGGGTTTGTTCATTACATTGGACTTTTCAAATCATAAATTGAGTATTACAGTCGTCTATCTATTTAAAAGTTTTTTTTAATTCCACCGTATGTATTTATCTAACTTAGTCTGTGATCCGTTGATTATGGATTGGCAGGCCCGTAACCAGGATTTGACCAGGGTGGGTCAATATGACGCGCCGCATGCGAAAATTTTTTTTGGGGGGGTTTTAATGATTTTTTAAACAATGTTTGGTTTGGTTTTACAGTGGTATNGAAGGCGAAAATTTTTTTGGGGGGGTTTTAATGATTTTTTAAACAATGTTTGGTTTGGTTTTACAGAGGTATATGGTTGTTTATTACATTGTCAATGCACACTATTGTTAGTGTTTTAATTAGACTTAAACAACTATTAAATGACTATGAGTAAATTTTGATGTTGTGTTATATTTAATCAACAGAGTTTACTGATCAACTGTCAGTTAGCCTGCGATAGGTCACAGGAGAGACATCTGAGGGGATGAGTTGAGAGAGTACACAAAAACTCCGTGACACTTTTAACGAGTAACGCACAGATAGATTCAAATTTGGTTTGGAAATCAATTCTTACTCGGGCTATATAATTTATAACTAGATTTTAGAAACTTATGAAAACAATATATTTTAAATGGGACCAAGATTCGTTATTGCACCCCTCTTTCAGAAGAAAGGGGGGTGCACCTGCACCCTTGCACCCCCCCCCCTGGTTACGGACCTGCAGGATTGGGGATATTTATATGATTGAAAAACGGGATCTAAAGTGTTTAACTAATCAAAAATAATATTGAATAATTTGAAAAAAGGGTCAAGCCCTCACCCCCCTCTCTCACACTTCTCACAGTTTTGAATGTATTAGAACCAACTCAAATTTTCGCAACTTATAAATTTTAAAAACTCATTTTTTAGAACTAACCCATAGTTTTGCATTTTTTGCATATGCAGTGGTAGATTTACCATGTCTGATCTTAGTACAAGGTAACTTTCTTAAATGTCATTGCAGTTTGAAGTACACATTTCTCACCTATCTATAAAAATATTATTAAAATCTATTAATTCTTGATATTCACTCCGAGAAATACGAGTGTCAGACTCGTAAAACATATCGTTACGTAAATAAATAGTGGACCCCAAACCCGTTATTTAAGAGAGTAAAGCTGAAAGAAACTACCGAGTTTAAAATACTTTTGCGTTGATTTAAATTTAAGAAATCAGATAATAATAACAGAGAATGTTAAGAAGCCATATGATCTAAGATTTTTAACAAATAAATTTTGTATCTACAAAACTACCTGACCCCATTCATGAAACTGGGTTTCCGATACTGGGTTTCATTGCGATACTCAGTCTTGATTTTCGGGTTCAGCAATTTTGCTAAGAGGGTTCATTGTGTAGATACACTCGCAACTTTAAGATGAGCTCTGTAGACTGTAGAGTCTACAGATAGTAGATGTTTTATCAAGGATTAAACAATAAAGGGACTGTTAACGTAATTTCAAGTGATATTTTGTCGTAAAGTGTTCTTGTTCTTACTGATTTGTACAGCTTACATGAAGGAGATAGAACAACTCATGTGTTTCTCATTGTACAAGGATAACGTTAAGAATCTGGAAATAAACTGAGTGTTACTTTAAATATTGTGAACAGTCCCTTTAACTTTTTTTTATTTTCAGATGAGAGCGGGTATACTACTCCGGAGCAGGTTGAGACTGAAGAGAAGGTTTGTATCCGACCAGAGCAAAGACGGGTTCGTCTTCAGAGTGAGGATTTATCCGATAATGATCCTGGATACAAGGATAGAGAACTAATCAAGAAACATCTTGTTTTCGATTCAGGTAATCATTTATCATACTTTTATTTATTAGTAAACTTTGTTTCTAAGTACAGTGGTATTCTCAAAGGATGAGAGTTTAATAACGATCTAAAACTCTTTGGACAATATGTTTTAAAGGTTAAATTAAACTGGTAATTGGCAACCATTAAAGTTTTCTAACAGTATCTTTATATATAACTTATATATAATCATAACTCTTGAACCTCTGTTGACTGATTTGTCTCAAATTTTAATTGGGGAGCTTAAAAGAACCTCAGCTGGAATGATTATAGATTGGTTTAAAAAATGTAGGTTAATTGGGTTGACTTCTCAGAAGATAGTTTACAGGCAAAGCTGGGTTCCTAAGCCATTGAAAATAACAAAATAGGAATGTAATAATATTACAGAATAAAGTCTGCAGAGTCGTCTTCGAAGTTTCTACTTTGGTGTTTAATCTTTAACTGTTTGCTTTTGTTTGTGTTTACGCTGTTGATGTTGTTCAAAGAAATTGAGCCTTTGCCACACACTCCCTTTATCTTACAACACAATGTCATGGACCTTATATATTTCAAACTATGAATTCTGTGAGATCGCCTTATCTAAGTTTGAAATATCATAGGTCTGCACTATCAGGGAGCAGAGATAAAGAGATTAGAAAATCAGAGTTTGTGGCAAAGACTCAGTTCCTTCATGTTCAGTATTATTCTCATAGTTTTTTTGTTCTAGTTCATGATTAGGGAGTAAAAAAAATTCTAGTTCAAATTACATTATGCATATTCTTGTTATGTTCTTGTACTATAGTTCATGTTTTGCTTCAAGTTCATAGAACACGTTCTTGTTCTTGTACACAATTCAAGGTTATGTTCAGTTTTCTACGTTGTTGTTCTTGTTACATTACATTTTTGGTATTCTTGTTCATAGTACAAGTTCTTGTTTTTGTTCTAATCTATGTTCAAGTTTGGACTTCATAGTAAACGTTCATAATTATTTCCAGTTCGTGTTAAGGTTTATGTTCAATTTCGGATAAACACGTTCTTTTTCATGTTTTTAAGGTTAGATTATAGTTCATTAAGTACATGTTCTTAGTTAATGTTTTGGTTCAAGTTTAAGTAAACAGTTTTTTACTTGTCCTTAAGTTACAGTTCATTTTTAATTTAAGGTTCCGAGTTCATAGTAATTTGTACATGTTCTTGTTCCGTTTATGTTAATGTTCTTGTACTAATTAATGTTTATTTCATAGTCTATGTTCTTGATCTTGAAAATCATGCATGAACTATGGCGAATATTAAAAACATATTATTTAACTAGAAAAATACGGGAGAAGACATGTTCCCTACCGGGTTAGTAGTGGTAGATCCCCCCCTAGACCAGTTTCCCCTTTCCTATCCCCTATCGAGGAACCTGTACCCCCTGTAGGAGCTCAGGAGGAGGTGGTGGAGGACTCACGTAGAGATGCATTCACTCCTGCAGAGCAGTTTATACATCCTACACACACCTCGTCTCCTTCAATACCTCCTGCTCAGGTATATTTAAAGTTTAAATCCTGTACATAATGTTTAGGTCACCTTTACACCTCTTCTTTAGGTTTATGTACAACTAGCTGAAGTGGGCGGCGTTGCCCGTGAAATTGAACAAATTAATAATTTTGAAGATTAAAAATTCGATTTTTGAAAAAAAATTATTTCGAATTTTTTTAGCCTAAACATTTTAGCCAATTCGGTCCAGAAGTTTGGCCGGCTATAGCGAAGAGCTTTCTTATATAAATTAATAATTATGTACCCTTTCGTACGTCATGGATCCGACCTACTTTTTCTCTTTGTTTTCTTAAAAATATCGGTTAAAGGGACTGTACGCGAAATTTCAAGTGACCCTCAATGCAAAGATGCCAATTCCCGATTTACAACGGTTCCCTTGAAAACTTTTATCTGATCAGTAATGTGGAAGACGTTGTTGTTCTTCTAGGGTTAAAGTGTTAGATTCTGGTAATTCCTAAGCTTTTTTCTGCAGTAGAGTTGGGCAAGTCACCATACTTGAAAATAATAAGTTTTTAATATTAGACACCCAGACTTGGTCAGACAAGGTTTATAAGGATGCCGGTGTAAATAGGGTATTGCAATATTAGCATGGAGGTTCACTTGAAATTACACATGCAGTCCCTTTAGGAGAAGTTTTTTTTAAGAGTATTGGGCTTGTTAATCTCTTTAACACTCTTGACACCTTATATATATATATATTAATCTTTAAATTTGTAATAGGAAATGTCCAACGGGTTTTACTGTTTGCCTTCTATTGGTTCTCAAACCTTCCAACTCTCTCTTCCCAACCTTCCTCAACAGCTCTCCTTCCCTCCTAGATCTATACAATCCTACACCTTCCCTTCCTCCGCTCCCTCCTTCATACCCTCCTCCTCTAATACCTCCTCATCAGCCCCTGCCCTGCTAATAGGTATCCAGTCCACCCCTCATAGCTACCCCCCTAGAGCACCAGATAACTCCTCGACAAGTCACCGGATGGCTCTGTTGCCTGGACTCCCTACTCCTCCCCAGTCTGCTCCCTTGAGCCTGATATCTCCGAACCTGCTGAGTTCAGCTCCTGGAGGAGGAGTTCCTCCATTCTTCCAGTGGCCTCGTCTTCCCTTTCCTTTCTTCCCATTGCATCCAGATACAAGTAAATATCTTTTTTAATTGATTGAGTTTTTTTACATCTATGTTAACTGTTTATTTTTTGAACCAGCATGATGAATTTCACTAGAAAAAACTGGAAAATCTGCAAAAATAGGACATTGAAAAATACAAAATTGGACACATTAACATTTAGTAACAATTTTGACGGTTTTTTACAAATATATATTCTATCAGGATTTGATAATGAACGCGTTTATAATTCACAACATAGGAACTATACATTTTTTGGTTACTTTTAAAGACTCATTTTTTTCGCTTAAGTTAACTTAACACTCAAACTCTAATTTTCATTGTAACCTGATGGATGTAAAGCTTAATTTAATATTTCAAATTCAGATTATTTGGTCAAACAAAATTCAGAGTTTGAAATATCTAAGATTTCCAACATCGGATTGGAAAGAAATAAGAATTAGAAAATCTGAGTTTGTGGCAAAGACTCAATTCCTGTCTATATTTTACTATTTATATTCAATTAGAATATTCTATTTTGTTGTGTGAGGTTAGCATTATAAGTTTTTTTTTGCTTTTCATCTTTATATATATTTTTTTAATTGTTTAGAACTTTACTTAAACTAACATCTTGCATTAACTGGTGAGAAAAAACATTTGCTCTGTTTTCTAAAGAAGACTGTTTTGTTATTGTAAACCTGAAAATCAGGTTTAATTTGTAATTCAATGCGGAGTTGAAATTATTTTCTTGTATTCTGGTGAAACCTGACGAGGGTAGGGTCTAGGTTGCTCCAGGTTCTATTTCTAGCTCTCCGTCATACCTAGAGATAAAAGTAACCTGAACCTTAGCTCAGGCAACTAAACTATCCTTCTATAATCCAAGTTTTATTCTAATTTTAATTGTGTATTTCACTCTCAACTGTTTGAACTGATAAGAGCTGCAAAAACCGTCCGAATATATAAGAACTTATCTACTTATCATGCCACTTTTATTTTACCTTTATTATGTACACTAGCTTGAGAACCAAGCGTTGCCCAGGGTACTATTACCGCCGTTTACCCGCGCTTGGCAGTAAATTACGATTATAGCTATTTTTACCTATAAAAGTAGACCCACTCAACTCAACCATTCCCGCGGTTCACCCGAGTTCCTCATTTAAAATTTGAGGCAAATCGGTCAAGTGCTTCATTGGCTGTGAACGGACAATAGACATACAAACATCTCAACATAGATTATATATTTTTTTATATATTTTTTTATATATTTTTATATATATTTTTTCTTGAATTTTCCGAATAATATTTTATTCTACAATTAACCAGAAGTATTTTCCTAAAAATATTTTTTTTTTCTTTAACGTACTAAAGCTTCCTGTAAGGCTGTAACATGTACAATGTACTGTACATAAAAAAAATTTGGAAAGGAATTGAGTCTTTGCCACAAACTCAGTTTTTGTAAAACCTTTATCTTTGCAACCTTATAATGTAAACCTTTAATATTACAAACTTACATTATTTGATTTTATAGCACTCATAACGGATAAAACTTTGGGCACATGTTAAAATCAAGGTGTTTATCTAACATGAGTTTGAAAACACGGACATTATCAATGCGAAACTGATATAAAGTGTTTGAATTGAATAAATATCAATATCAAGAAATTACCAGATTTTGATTTAAAGTTTTTTTTTCTAGTAAAACAATTTTGGCATTCTTTTCGTTTAAAGATAATTGGGATAGTTAAATTGAAATCCATGACCTTTATATGAATTTTTATGATACGGATTTTAATTTAAATTATGATTTTTTTTGTTTTTCATTGTATAGATTTGGTTAATATATACTTGCTTGTAGAGAGATCACATATGTTTTTAATTTTCAAAACAAAAAATAGTAAAAATAAACAAATTTTTCAGACTGTGATATAAACTGGCTACCCCCTTCTCCCGCCAACATATGGCAGGATAACCTGAGGCGCTCTGAGCTGGACGCCGCCATGACACTCTCACAGCTGGCAGGCGGATACTTGAACCATTCATGATTGGTCCATGCATCACCTTGGGGCCTCATTCCCCGCCCCGGCTCGGACTGAAAGTAAACGCCAGTAACTGGTTTTGTTAAGTTACCATATTATTTAAACAAAAGCTATTCGCTCTTTCATACAGTAATCTTTGATATTAAACAGAGTCTTAGGATTCTTACTTTCAAAGACTTTTAATTTTCTGACGTAACGTATTTAGCTAGATCTTTCGAGTATTTTACAGCAAATCAATCAAATCCAATTCTGTCATTTATTTCCTAACACTTCAATATATTTGGCATAATAAGCTAAGCATAAGGTTCGACGTTTGACCAGCCTTGAAGGAACCTGGGCATACGATCCTAATTTTCTTCAGCGGACAGATAATAATTACCTGTCCCGTTCTTTAACCGCCCAGGGCCGCTGTTCAATACCGCCATATTGCGCCGGGTACAGAGCCGCGGATTTTTTACAATTTGGCGCTGCGCATTTTTCCTGAGAGGTTTAAGTGTAGGAGAATAGACAGGTTGGAGACATTAGGATAGACAAGGAAGAGACAGGACAAGGACATAGAAAGGAAATATATAGAATAGGGCAAGACATTTATGAAATTTTTACCGGGGGAGGGGAGGGGGAGGGGGGGTAGTTAGGTTGCATTATAAACCTGATCTGTTGGATATTAGTACACTTTGTACACGGAATTTCACTGAAATAATTAGTAAACAAAATTTTAATTTATATTATACTTAATACGTGCATTTCCTTAACAAAAATGGCGTCTTTCAATTAAAAAATGTCCTGGTAAACTTTTGCTATGCTTTATAGTCATGATAAACAAAAATAGTATGAGGTTAATTTCTATATATTTATTGTTTTAAGCTTAATAGGAAAAAAAAATTCTAATGTTTATTTATATCTGTTTTTCAATTTGTTTATAACTTTTACTGGACACCCGCGCGCTCTCTAATATTAAGCCATTAATCTTTAACTTAATAGTTTATTACTTTTAAACAACTTTCAAACTGATTGAAAAAAATTCTAGAAGCTAAATAGTTTCTCAGTTTTAATAGCATTATATTATCTTTTTTTAAGTAGCATCAAACTAATGGACAGTTTCTTTTATTGAACTCTAATGGTTTATCATAATCTTTTGACGTAGTTCATAGTCAATATAGGCAGAGAAGGATTTTACAATTAAGTTAGGCCTAGGCTCCAGGTCCTGGGCTGTGGCTAGGATACGCCAGGGGCCGAGAGCTGCGGCTCGATTATCTGGGAAAGTCCATCTTTGGAAATTGAGAAATTGAGATATTTCCATTTTGTTACAGGTAATAGAGTAGGATAGGTATTAGGGCAGGATAGGTAGGGAGCAGACTAAGTATGTAGGAGGACAGGATAGGATAGGATAGGATAGGATAGGATAGGATAGGATAGGATAGGATAGGATAGGATATGGTAGGATATTATATTTAGTGGAGTAGGATAGGTAGTGGATAGCAGAGTAGGTAGGTAGTAAAGTAGTAGGGTAGAATATGTAGTAGGGTATTTAAAGTAGTAGGGTAGGATTGGTAGTAGCGTTGGACAGGTAGTAGGGTAGGATATGTATTTTGTAGTAAGGTTGGATAGGGATAGTTAGAAAAGTTGGAAAGGAAGTAGGGAAGGATAGGAAATTAAGTAGGATAGCTAGGTAGAAAGGTAGGATATGTAATTGAGTAGAATAGTTTAATTGAGTAGTATAGGTAATTGAGTAGGATAGGTAGTGGAGTAGGAAATGTAGTGGAGTAGGATAGGTAGTAGAGGAGGATAGGCAGGTGGCTAGGACAGGTAGTGGAGTAAGATAGGTAGTAACGAAGAATAGGTAGTAGGGTAGGACAGGTATTGGAGTAGGATAGGAAGTAGAGAAGAATAGGTAGAGGAGTAGGACAAGTAGTGGAGTAGGATAGGTAGTAGAGGAGGATAGGCAGGTGGCTAGGACAGGTAGTGGAGTAAGATAGGTAGTAACGAAGAATAGGTAGTAGGGTAGGACAGGTAGTGGATTAGGATAGGTAGTAGAGAAGAATAGGTAGAGGGGTAGGACAGGTAGTGGAGTAGGGTAGCTAGTAGAGAAGAATAGGTAGAGGGGTAGGACAGGTAGTGGAGTAGGATAGGTAGTAGAGAAGAATAGATGGTAGGGTAGGGTAGGACAGGTAGTTAAGTAGAATAGCTAGTAGAGAAGAATAGGTAGTAGGGTAGGACAAGTAGTGGGGTAGGACAAGAGTGGATTGGGATAGGAAGTAGGGTGGATATGTAGTAGGGACTAGGGTAGGATATGGTAATGGAGTAGGAAAGAAAGGGAAGTAGAATAGGTAATCAAGTAAGATAGGTTGTATAGAAGGATAGGTAGTGAAGTAGGATAGATTGTATATTAGGACAGGTAGTAGTGGAGTAATATAATGACATAGGAGTAGCTAGAATCTTGAAAATGATAGAAGTAGTAAAGTTAAGAAAAAATTATTCATCAATAAATACCCGAATGAAAAACTGTGACAAAGATAAAGAAAAGAGGAAAGGTTACGAGACTGAGACATGTAGGTTGTAGCCTGTAGGTCGTGATGAGCTCCCGAAAACCATAGGAAAAGCCTGTATGTTAGGAAAAACATAGGAAACGCCTGCATGTTAGGAAAAACATAGGAAACGCCTGCATGTTAGGAAAAACATAGGAAACGCATAGGAAAATTATAGGAAACGCATAGGAAAAATATAGGAAACGCCTAAGAAAAATATAGGAAATGCCTGCATGTTAGGAAAGACATAGGAAACGCTTGCATGTTAGGAAAAACATAGGAAACGCCTGCATATTAGAAAAGACAAAGTAAACGCCTGCATATTAGAAAAGACATTGGAAACGCCTGCATGTTAGAAAAAAAACATAAGAAACGCCTGCATGTTAGGAAAAACATAGGAAACACCTGCATGTTAAGAAAAACAGGCAACACCTGCATGTTAGGAAAGACATAGGGAACGCCTGAGTTAGAAAAGACATAGGAAACGCCTGCATGTTAGGAAAAACATAGGAAACACCTGCGTGTTAAGAAAAACAGGCAACACCTGCATGTTAGGAAAGACATAGGGAACGCCTGCATGTTAGGAAAACATAGGAAACGCCTGCATGCTAGGAAAAACATAGGAAACGCCTGCATGTTAGGAAAAACCTAGGAAACGCATAAGAAAGACATAGGAAACGCCTGCATGTTTGGAAAGGCATAGGAAACGCCTGTAAAAAATACATAGGAAACGCCTGCATGTTAGAAAAGACATAGGAAACGTCTGCATGTTAGAAAAGACATAGGAAACGCCTGCATGTTAGGAAAAACATAGGAAACGCCCGCATGTTATGAAAGACATAGGAAACACATGCATGTTAGGAAGACATTGGAAACGCCTGAATGTTAGGAAAGACATAAGAAACGCCTTCTTGTTATGAAAAACATAGGTAACGCCTGCATGTTAGGAAAACCATAGGAAACGCCCGCACGTGTTAGTGTTAAGAAAGACATAGGAAACCCCTACATGTTAGAAAAGAAACATAGGAAACGCCTGCATGTTAGGAAAAAATATAGGAATAGCATAGGAAAGACATAGGAAACGCCTGCATGTTAGGAAAGACAAAGGAAACGCCTGCATTTTAGGAAAGAAATAGGAAACGCCTGCATGTTAGGAAAGACATAGGAAACGCCTGCATGTCAGGAAAGACATAGGAAACGCCTGAATGTCAGGAAAACGGAAACGCCTGCATGTTAGGAAAGACATATGAAAGTCTCAATGTTTGGAAAGACATAAGAAACGCCTGCATGTTAGGAAAAAAACATGGGAAACGCCTGCATGTTAGGAAAGACCTAGCGAACGCCTGCATGTTTGGAAAAACATAGGAAACACCTGCATGTTAAGAAAAACAGGCAACACCTGTATGTTAGGAAAGACATAGGAAACGCCTGCATGTTAGGAAAATATAGGAAACGCCTTCTTGTTAGGAAAACATAGGAAACGCCTGCATGTTAGGAAAAACCTAGGAAACGCCTGCATATAAGAAAAGACATAGAAAACCCCTGCATGTTAAAAAAGACATAGGAAACGCCTGCATGTTAGAAAAGACATAGGAAACGCCTGCATGTTAGAAAAAAACATAGGAAACGCCTGCATGTTAGGAAAAACATAGGAAACGCCTGCATGTCAGGAAAGACATAGGAAACACCTGCATGTTAGGAATAACATAGGAAACGCCTTCTTGTTAGGAAAGACATAGGTAATGCCTGCATGTTAGGAAAAAAAACATAGTAAACGCCTGTATGTTAAGAAAGACATAAGAAAACGCCTGCCTTTTAGGAAAGACAGAGGAAACGCCTGCATATTAGAAAAAACATAGAAAACCCCTGCATGTTAAAAAAGACATAGGAAACGCCTGCATGTTAGAAAAAACATAGGAAACGCCTGCATGTTAGGAAAAAACAAAGGAAACGCCTGCATGTTAGAAAAAAACATAGGAAACGCCTGCATGTTAGGAAAAACATAGGAAACGCCTGCATGTCAGGAAAGACATAGGAAACGCCTGAATGTTAAGAAAGGCATAAGAAAACGCCTGCATTTTAGGAAAGAAATAGGAAACGCCTGCATGTTTGGAAATACATAGGAAACGCCTGCATGTTAGGAAAGACATAGGAAACGCCTGCACGTTAGAAAAGACATACGAAACGCCTGCACGTTAGGAAAGACATAGGAAACGTCGTATGTTAGGAAAGGAAGTTAAGACAAGCAAGTAGGTCAAGATAGGTCTTTTTTATTGAGCTTTGTTTTCAAGTTTAGGTTTTAAAAAAATTGCCCTTTTCCTACGCCTTTCTGAACTTATTTAAGTAGGAGCTAGGCATTATTTAAGTAGGAGCTAGGCATTATTTAAGTAGGAGCTAGGCATTATTTATAAGTAGGAGCTAGGCATTATTTATGTAGGAGCTAGGCATTATTTAAGTAGGAGCTAGACATTATTTAAGTAGGAGCTAGGCATTATTTAAGTAGGAGCTAGGCATTATTTAAGTAGGGGCTAGGCAGCACAACATTGTGTTTCGCTCGCTATATTATTTAAAGCTGCAAAGCGTTCCAAATTGTGCAAAAACTGCATAGATTGTGCTTATTATTTTATTTATATTGAAAGTTTTATTGTTTCAAGGTAATAAGATAGCTTCTGATTTATATTTCGAAAACTACATTGATAATTGTCATTTTGTATTGAAGGGAATGTTGACTTGTTTAAACAATAACATTTTTATGCTTTGATGATATTCTGTTAGTAACTATCCTAGATCTTATTCTTCTCCGAATGGCAAACTTTAAACGGTGAGATTATTATCTTTTATATTAAAGATTATCTCAAAAACGTTTTTAAAAGTTAGATATCAGAGAATAAGAATTTGCGGCGGGTATGCAGTTTTATTACAATAAAACCAATTGAAAGAAGAAGAAAAATTTGCACAAAAAAAGTTCGATGCGGGGGGGGGGGGGGGGTGCTGGTAGTATAACCTGAGAAATAGGAACACAGAATATCAATACAGGGGTCGCAACATAAAAGTGAAATATAAAGACGACTAATGTCGAAACTTATTGTATTTGAAGTTGGTACAAAATTGATTAAGTTTTGAAAATGTTGGCTCTGACAGAAGTTTACAACCCGAAAGAAAAGCAAAGCCAATCTTTTGAAAAAGCAGTTACAAAATCTTTCAGACTCATATTCTCTGTAAGAGCCAAAGTATGATAAAAGCAAACATTTAGAGCATTCCACAGATTAATAACAATACAGATAAAATGTCGTAAGATGTCGTCTTTTCAAGATTTTTTATTCACAATAACCCTAAGGCATTGACAGGATCTTTCTGTCATGCGCATAACTCCTTTTGGCTTTTGCCTTAGGGTTATTGTGAACGAAAAACCTCTAAATCCTAAAAAGACCACATCTAGTGTTCTATCTGTTTTTAATATTCTATGAAGCACTCAATTTCTGCATTTGCTAAAATTCTTTTATTTCTGTAGACCCTCTTGATAGCTTAAAACAAACAGAAGATAAAAAAGATGAATAAAATAGTTGAAAAATGCTAAGTTTGAAAGTTTGATAGAAAGTCGTCTTCGCATTTCACTTAAAAATTTGCTTCACTGTAGTTGTCACCTAAATCTTATATTTTAACAAGTAAACATTTCTTTGACTTTTAACTTAAATTTGCATGTGATATAGGGAAAAAAATTGTTTTCTGGGGGGGGGGCTTTTTTGTTTCAAATTCTTAATAGTTTGGACCGTATTCTAAAAAACGAAATGCTAATTTAGAGCTAGTTCAAGTTATCACGGAATGGATAAGAGGTTTCGTAATTGGGTTATAATTTGTAAGCCTGGAAATATGATTCTGATAGTTTATGCGATAAGAAGTAATCTTGGAATAAAGTTGTAAATCGAACCACTAAACCTTTCCTTCCTAAATCCTTATGTGTAATCTACTGTTAGAAGAAACCCTAACAATTTTGTTCTTAATATATAGAACTTCAAACTTTCAAACATTTTGTTCATTTTTAAGAACATTTTCTTCAAAATTACGAACAAAAATTCAAAACTACGAATATTTTCTTTAAAATTATGAACATGTTTAAAATTACTAATATTTTGTTCAAAATTACGAACATATGTTTAAAATTACGAACATTTGTTTGAAATTAGGAACATTATTTTCAAAATTACAACATTATTTTTAAAGATACGAACATTATGTTCAAAATTACGAACATTATAATCAAAATTACGAACATTATGTTCAAAATTACGAGTTACGATCATTTCATTATAAATTACGAACATTTTGTTCAAAATCACGAACATTACGTTCAAAATTAAGAATATTTTGTTCTAAATTACGAACATAATGTTCAAAATTACGAATGTTCAAAATTACGAACATAAGAACGTTTTGTTTAATAATACGAACAGAATGTTTGGGATATAAATATATGTTCCTAACATTTTGATCATAATTTCATCCCATATTTTTATTATTTCGATATGCTTTTTGTAGTTTAAATATTAAAGGGAGTGTTTGCGAAAAATGTAAGGTGGTATGTAGTCTGAATCCGAATCAAATCTGGATGCGAAGCGCTACTAAATTTGCTGCTATCCATAGCGTATATAAGGAGGAAATGTTCTAACATGCCTAATGTTAGGAATGGATAAGTCCAAAAAAAACTCATGGATTTCATAAAAATGTGATTACGCCGCATTCTCGATCAGCTTCGAGCAAGTGAAACGATTAACGATTAATCGATTGAAAATGTCGTCTTTTTTACTGATTGTGTATAATGCAATTTACATTGATTCTCCACTCTGTACATTAAGCGTTTTTAGCTTTTTTCTTATAGACGCATAGCCATAAAGAGAAGTAAAGTACGATTAAATCCAAACTTATTTCAGGTTTAACCTTTACCCTGTATTCATTTCCCGCGGACACTCCTTTTAAAAAATTGTCCGGATTTCTTCTAAGAGTGTTTAAACATATATATTCGTGTTTATGTTACATTTATTTATTGTAAAATGCCAATACCGTAGTCTTTCCTTTATTTTATGCTGATACTTATAGTACACTGTACATACACTTACACAACGTTCAATCTTTTATAATTATATTGTTAAATTATGCTTGTAAACTGTTAAAGGAAATAAATAAATTAATGACAAAATCTTGTTATATCTGATTGCTGAAATAACTTATTATCAACCTGCAAAGTATTACATAAATTACATAAATAACATATTTGACCTTTTTAAAGACAATTTGTTCATCTTTGGTTAACTTTCAATTTCATTTTAGTTTAGTAAAACTCCTTTGTTTTCAGACTTATTGTTCATTTTCTGTCTATTTCATTCGTTTTATAAATGAACAAGATTTTACGTTCAGTAAAAAAAAACTATCGTTTTGGTTTTTACAAGTTGGAGCTTACAAAGTAAAAATCGTTTGTTATAACGGTCTAACTGATAAATAACATGCGAACGATCGTATACTATTTTAAAACAAAAGAGCTTTTAATTTCTCTGAAAGACCAAATGAGATCGTTTAAAATATTTAGTCTGTTCCTGGAAACGATGTCCTTCTCTAACCATGTGGTTAAAACATATTGACTTTCCTAATTTTTCTTGTTATTGTTTCTAAAAAATGCCGTTGTATCCACAGCATCATGGCTTCCTGGATCCGGATCCGCAAAATTTGTGGATTCACAAGTCAATTGGCTGTAAACATATTGGGATAAGAAAAGTCCTTTGTTTTTCTAGTTTTACAGTTTAGACGACTTAGGCGTTAGAAACATCATAGTTCATAGCTTATAATGCAAATTTTTCACGTACAGGGTTACCCACAAAAGATGAGTTTCGAGACTGCAATGCCGACAGCCGAAACTAAAATTACAAAGAAAGAAATACTTGTTTACAACCCTGACAGTCTGCTAATATCTCCTTTTACAGGATGGGCTACATAGAATAGGCCTAAGTTGATCCGCGGAACGACATCCTACTTTTTTACGATAGGTTTTTAGAGTGCGCATCTCAACGCCACTTGTTGAACATAATACCCATTCAGGGGTTAAGGTTTAGAACTTTTAAAGAAATACTCAAATTTTAAACATGAAACATAACATTTATGAATTCAGTCTTTTTTTGAAGATTTTGTGTTTCGTATCCAAAGGATCCGTAAATATCGCTGGATACAGATGATTGCTGATTTGTCGTTGTACAGTACTTGTACACAATAATCGATTTCTGTAACTCTCTTATCTCTGGTAACCCTGTAAGTTTCTTTGGGAATATTCTATGCAATTTCCATCCAAAAGAAGACGACATTGTAAACTCTGCTTCAACTGAATCTAAATCTAGGTTCACAAGTTTACATAAATAAGAAGTTAAAAATAGTCAACCAAAAAAAGAAAGTAGCATGTAGCTTTTTAGTTTAGTTAAATTTCTCCCTTTTATAAACCTTTAGATATCAGTTGACAGCTACCAGTGTTTACGCCATTTATCACAATTTTTGACATCTATAACAAACTTTTGACACAAGCTGATATTTATTAATGAATTTTTATGAACACAATATAAATAATCTACAGGGTGTCCCAAAAAACATGGGAATTCAGTGACGAATTGGATATCGTCTTTGTTATGAATTAGCAATGTAATACCTAATTTCAAAAGCCATAATATTATTATGTCTGCTAGAGTTTATTTTATGAAAAGGGTAAACGACTGCAAAGATGTGTCTATTATGTCTCCGGAAGATGAACAGTGAAGACGGACAAGTTTACTCTGTTTGTATACTGCAATTTTTCTTGTTTTACAATCGTATGGAGTCAAAACATAAACAAACAAAATGTAAACATAGCAGACGAAACTCTTACAGATTACAGCTTTCTCAGTAGATATCACTATTCTAAAACAAAGAATTATTTGAGAAGACGATATAGAATTCGTCACTGAATTCCCATGTTTATTGGGACACCCTGTATGTCTCGAATAAAAAGATTGATTGTTTAATAATTTACAGGAAAGACGACATTCAAGAGGAAATAACTATTTTTGCAGTATCAACTTTAAGAATACATTTTAGAACTAAATGCGCATTTATTTATTTAAACTAATAATTTTAAATGTGTAAAGATAGCTTTCTTTGTCAAATATTGCGTTGAAATGTTTAAAACTGATATAGGGGGAGGTGAACTGTCGCAAGGTTGTGGACTGATGCAAGATTAACTAAACCAACCATTTATGGAAAATATCTAAATCAATCTTTGTGCATTAAATATATATTTAATTCTCTTAGATAAGTGAGTTTATGTGTTTCACATTTGTACATTTAAAATCTAATTTTTAAATTAAGAATTTTTAAAAATCAGTTTTACAATATGAACAAGACAAAATTACAGCAAAGAACGATATAATTTACGACAGATTTTTTTCGTAGGAAATATTCAAATCAATAAAGTCTCATCTTATGTGTTTTATACAGGGTTAGTGACAAAGGATGAGACTGTAAAGACAATCTAAAACTCTAAAAATATGAAAATTTGAAGCTAAATTTTTTGGTTTTTGGTTAATTGAGTATTTTGTTGGTTTACTAGATAATTAAGCACAGAAATAAACCAGTTTTGGCCTACAAGGAAATCGTAATGCAAGGAAATGGATTAAACAAATTCCATACAATCGTCTCTGAAGTCTCATCCTTTAGTGGTAAACCTGTATTTGGTGGTACATCATTTTTACTAAATGTGACTTTTTAAATACAGATTTATAGATTCGGCTTTTAGTGTTTTTTTTTGTTTTTTTTTTTATCTAAGCAATGCATGTATTGGAAGGTTGTGATGAGAATTTTAGTTAATATTACGTTGAGGCAATTACACAAGAATAAATAAAAATTAATTAAAACTATTTTAAGGTTTAAGCTGTTTGTCTGTTCAAAGTGAAAACCTTTGTAAAAAAAAACGGCAACCTCCATAAAATAAGTATTGAGAGGGGAATAAACATGATAAACATGGACAAATCCAGGTATTGACAGGGGAATAAACATGATAAACATGGACAAATCCAGGTATTGACAGGGGAATAAACATGATAAACATGGACAAATCCAGGTATTGACTAGGGGAATAAACATGATAAACATGGACAAATCCAGGTATTGACAGGGGAATAAACATGATAAACATGGACAAATCCAGGTATTGACTGGGGAATAAACATGATTAACATGGACAAATCCAGGTATTGACTGGGGAATAAACATGATAAACATGGACAAATCCAGCAGCACAGACAATGAAGTTTGTATAATTTAAATTTCATTCAAAAGTTTTAATTTGTAATCAAATATTATGTGATTTTCTTTTATTACACAGTGTACTTCTCACACGTTTGATTTAAAAATTAATTGTTTTGAATTTTTTGTCCATTTAAATATTAAAAGAACGATACGAGAATGTATATTTAAAGTTTAAACAAATAATTTAATAAACCAAAGCCTGGTACAGTTCACTACATATACAATGTACGTACGGTACATAAGTCACATTAATGAAACCTAAAGCTAGTGATGCTACGCAATAAATAGTTCACAGACTTTATACATTTGGAAATTCTAAATTTTAAACAAATATAAAATTAAATCAACATTTAATTTTGAGTTTAGATATTTCCGACATATATTTGAGGAATGCAAACTCTAAGAATTACTCTAAGCAAAAGATCAAATCAAATCATATCAAATTCCAAACAAATCATTCAGATATTAGAGATATCACAACCTTTAATCATCGTTTTTTTATGCATTTCGACGCATATTTCATAGTATTTTTTATTTGTTTAATTGATGCATGTTAACCGACGATTAGTTGGCCGCCAGGTGTCTCTGCTCTCGATGTTTCTGCATAGTTCCACATGGCATGAGACGCCTAGGCGGACAAAAAATCGTCGTTTTAAGTGCATTCTATATAAAACAAATAAAAAATATTATGAAGTATCAACTTTATACGAATGCGTCGAAAAAAATCGATGATTTAAGGTTGATAAAGATTTGCTGGGAATTAAATTGATTTTTTTACGATCCGAATGGACGCTGCCTTCTTCGGTATGAGTCTTTTTATCTGCAATTGTCTACTTTTAGACGAACAGATAGAAGTAAGAATATAAGCAATCACCATCGAATATTTTTCGACTTTAACCTTTGTCCTCTTTCATTTTCGCGAACACTCCCTTTAAATATTGATCCTCAAATGAAAGAGCTCACTGTGGATATCGAGATCGAGCGCTCGAGATTCCCAGTTCTGGTAAGAAATAGACATTTTCCTGACAAATACCCTATTTATTTCCCCCGATAAGAAATTTGATAAAAGTAATGCTGCTCCCTGGGAGATGAAAATACATTGATTCACAATATTATAGGAAAATATACTGGCTTTTTATCTTTTTTCTTTTTCAAGTTTTTATTAAAAGTTTAATCAGAGCCAGTCATTAAACATTGGAAGGGGCCCCAGCCCCCAACTGCCCTGCCAGGAATGTTTATCAGACCAATGTTTATTGAACAACTCTGCAATGTTTTTATTCCAGCTGTGATGGTTGAATTAGACTCTGGAGTTTCAGTTTAGATTCAGAATCCTTGATCCATCTTGTTGATGCCAGATTGGATCCTGGATTATGATCTCTAAACCTCAGCTGTCCTTTGACCCTGAATAATTGTTCTAATAAGTTTTAAAATAATCAAAGAAAATAACTTTGAAACTATGGCAATGCTAAAACTAGCAGAACAATATCAAAATGGTATTTAGTAGATACTAGCTCAAAGTGCCCGGCGTTGCCCGTGGAATAATTAAAAACCTAACTTTTGAAAAATAATTATTTAGAATCTTTTTTATCATATGTTACTCCCGAGTTACTCAAGGGTTCCTTCAAAAAATGTCAGCCCTTTTGGTCCAGCTGTTTGGCCAGCTATAGCTAATTTATATCTATACAAATATATATAAAAGAACGAAGAGCTTTATCATATATGTAGATAAATGTAGATAAATGTAATGCTGACTTTAAAACATCTTTCCCTTTTCCACAAACAAAATTAGACATTGAAGATTTTCAAATTTCAAGTGATCTTTAAAACTGGACAGATATCATAGGAAAACAGAAGTCCACATGACTACAAGACTACAAGACTTCATTACTTCAAGACTACATCACTTCAAGAACTTATAACTTTAGGACTAGATGTCTACAAGACTTCATGATTTTCAAGACTACATGACTTCAAGATTACAGGATATCAAGACTACATGACCTCAAGAATACAAGAATACTACAGGAATACAAGAATAATACAGGAATACAAGAATACTACAAGAATAATACAGGAATACTACAGGAATAAAAAATACTATAGGAATACAAGAATACTACAATAATACTACAGGAATACAAGAATAATATAGGAATAAAAGAATACTACAGGAATACAAGAATACTACAGGAATAACGGAATACTACAGGAATACAAGAATACTACATGAATACAAGAATAATACAGGAATTCAAGAATACTTCCTACAGGAATACAAGAATACTACAGAAATTCAAGAATACTACAGGAATACAAGAATACTACAGGAATACAAGAATAATACAGGAATACAAGAATATTACATGAATACAAGAATAATACAGGAATACAAGAATACTACAGGAATTCAAGAATACTACAGGAATACAAGAATACTACAGAAATACAAGAATACTACAGGAAAACTCAGACTATTACAATATTACAAAATGAAAAACATATGTAAGCATTTTTAATTTTTGTTCGATCTCATCTTAAATTTTCAATTTAGTTAGAATTTAATTTAAATCAAATTTTAAGGTGTTTTAAATAAATAACTTACTTTAATCAAGACAAAAATATCAAATTTTAAAATTTTAAGTGGTAATTAAAATTTATATAAGAATATAAATATTTTGGCTCCTTTAAATCTAATTTTATTAAATTAAACTGAAGAAAATTTTTATTCATTTTAGAAAAATTATTAACTAGAAAAAGGAAAGTTTCAATAATCAATGAATATTTTGTAAAGAAAAGATCCTACTTAAAGGAACTGTTCAGGTAAAATGTTAAAGGCTGAAGCCTTAAAATTTTAGGAGTTGATCGAGACCAATATTAGTTCTATCTGATGTCTCTGTCTCAAGAAATTTTATACTAGTTTTGGTGTAACTTTGAAACAGTTCTATATCAATTTCTCGAAAATAAAATAAAACTAATATTGGTCGCGATCAACTCCTAACATTTTAAGGTACTCATTACCCCTTTTATTTTACATTAATTCTTTAAATTTAAATTCCTTATTAGCATATTGTTGGAATTAAACAAATATTTACCAACTTTGCTGTTCGAACATTTCTCTAGCTGGCGACCTAGCAGGGCTTCACAACTTTCTGGATCAAAGAAGAACTTTTTTTTCAAGAACACAAGTTTTAATTTAAAAAGTTTGTAGTTTTTTTTCGTACATTTTGGGTATTATGATTACGCTTAAGTGTATTGCAAGATAATAATAGTATTCTCTCTTTGGTTATATTTAATTCAATTATAGCAGTTTTAAAAAGTAAAATTTGCTCTAAATTATTTTTTAAAAAGTTTAATTCCCGGATTTTCTGAAAAAATAGCATATTTCTAAAATAATTCTTTAATTTGCATGAAAAAAGTAAAAAACTAAAAAGATTAAAACCTTCTCGATAAAGAGAAATTTTCTGTTCAAATTGGTTTAATAAATAGCCAAACAAGTGAAGACATAAAATCAGCCATTGCATTGGGCGACTAAAAAAGGTTTTATTGTTGAATCGTTAAAGCGTATATACATAGAAGGGTTTGCAACCTTTTCAATTAAAAAGATAGAATGCATTTATCTGTAACAATTAGTTAATAATGATAAATTAAAAAAACATGGTTTTAATGTCTTCATTAGAAAATCTGTCGCTGTTGACAGGTCTTCTAATTACCAATTAATAATACGTGGAAATATTGAATATAACAAGAAATAATTAACATAAAATATTGTAAAATGTTTTATAAAACTATTGTGTACTTTATCATTATTACTCACTTCATCGAGAAACTTCATAAAGAACGTGCTTTAAAGTAGTCATCACTCATCGTGCTATAAAGTTGAATTGAGTCTTTGGAACAAAATCAAACATTTAAACCTTAATATCTTTAGAACCCGATGTTGTAAACCTTTGATATTTCAAACTCAGATTATTTGATCTAACAGAATTCATAGTTTGAAATATCTAAGGTCTACAACATTTGGTTCCATAGATATATTGATAAAAAAGAGTTTGTGGCAAAAACTCAATTCCTTAGCAGCACAATATAGCACGTGTGCAGTGTGCTATATAAAGTTTTTATTGGTTCCCGGATTTCTCCAAAATATTTTTTTCAACTGAAATGAAAATAAAATTGAAATAAACTGAATATTTTGAATTCTGCTTTATTTAAAAGCTTATTTGATCTATAAATAGCTATTGAAATAAGACTAAAATTACCTCTAACACTATAATTATGGCACGACGGTCTATAAATTTTTTTGGACTTAAATTTTCTCTATATCTCAAAGATTATATATTGTCCCTCGCTAAAGCTCATGCAGGACAAAATTAAATCTAAAAAGGCTTGAGCCTTCTCGATAAAGAGAAAATTTCTGTCCAAAAACTTGTAATACCGCGAACCAAAATAACAGTGTTATGAATATTTTGAAAGGATGTGCTCTACCTAATCAAATAATGAAAGATATTACGATGCAATCAATTATTGGGGGAAACTTGCAGATTAAAAAAGGTATCTTTTGATGCTGACCCATAGATATACATATGGTTTGATAATATTGTTAGGGCCGGGGGGGGGCTTCGTTTAAAGAAATTGAGGTTTTGCCACAAACTCTGATATTCTGATCCCTTTATCTTTTTGTATCCGATCTTGTAGACCTTCGATATTTCAAACTATATAGATCATGTTAGATAAAATACTCCAAGTTTGAAATATCACAGATTGCATAGATAAGATATTTGGCAAAAACGAAAATCCTTATTGAAAAGATGAAAGTTGCATGTATTCACCTGGAGAACTTCAGCTAGTGGTATCTTGTATATATCAGGTTCCCGACCCTTTACATTCATATATTCATCTAGACAATCATGGCAGAAGTAAGGAGAGAGGATTTTCAGATTTGATCATAATTTAGTACAAAATTATAAAATTAACAATTGTGTTCACTTGGAATGAGAAAGGAAATTAAGGAAACGCAAGGAAAACTTAACACCTTCATGAACAACTCAACTCAAGAAAAAGTATTTGAAAAATTTGAATTTGGCGCCACAATCTTGGAAATATTTTAATAAACCTTGTATGCAGCTTTTTGTCATAAGGACCAACAGTAAGATAACCTACAACTAGATATTTTAAGTTGTTTTAAAGATTTCTTTGTCATATGTTTATATTCGATATCTACCCACAAAAGATGAGACTTCAGAAACGATTGTTGAGAACTTGTTTAGTCTATTTTCTTGCATTCAGTTCAGTGTTCCTTGTTGGGCAAAACAGGCTTATTTCTGTGCATAATAAGTTTGTAAATCCATCAAATTACTAAATTAAATGCAGCGTGCAGAAACGAAAAATCTACAAATCGTCATATTTTAGAGTTTTGGGTCGTCTTCACAGTCAAGTTTTAACCGATAAACGTCAAAACGACCCCAAGGAAGGTTTATCGATGTTGAAAGATAAAACATTTTTCATGGAAATACATTTCATGAGTGAATAACAAATGGCAACTTAAAGAGCAACAGTTTTATTAATAATGTATGCCTTAGAAATACTAGATTCAGATCTTTGTTTTGCAGTGCTTTTATTATTAAGTGATTAAAAGAATATACTTTTATAGAGAACCCCCCCCCCCCTCCATACAGTTCTCAGAGCAATCAAAAAAAAGAGTTTCTTTACTTTACAGTTCTCTATATTTCTTTTACAAAAAGTATAATGAAACACAAAGAAAACAATAGAAATACCAGAAATATCTGGGTTAAAATTCTGAATGGAAATTTTTTAGAGTTTTACATTACATTATTTTCATTGCGGTTTCCTTGCAAAAATGATGTTATTTCATTGTGGTTTCTTAGTAAAACGATTTTTTTCATTGTGGTTTCCTTGGAAAAATCATATTATTGTGGTTTCCCTGCAGAAATGATGTCATTTTCATTGTGGTTTCCTTGCAAAAATGATATTATTGTAGTTTCCTTGGAAAAATGATGCTATTTTCATTGCGATTTCCTTGCAAAAATGATGTTATTTTCATTGCGGTTTCCTTGCAAAAAATGATGCTATTTTCATTATGTTTTCCCTGTAAAAACGATGTTATTTTTATTGTGGTTTCCTTGCAAAAATGATGTTATTTTCAATGTGGGTTCCTTGCAAAAATGACGTTATTTCATTGTGGGTTCCTTGCAAAAATGATATTATTTTCATTGCGGTTTCCTTGTAAAAACGATTTTTTATTGTGGTTTCCTTGCAAAAATAATGTTATTGTGGTTTCCTTGCAAAAATGATGTTATTTTCATTGCGGTTTCCTTGCAAAAATGATGTTATTTTGATTGTATTTTCCTTGCAAAAATGATTTTATTTTCATTGTGGTTTCCCTGTAACAACGATGTTATTTTTATTGTGGTTTCCTTGCAAAAAAAGATATTATTTTCATTGTGGTTTCCTTGCAAAAACGATGTTATTTTTATTGTGGTTTCCCTGCAAAAATGATGATATTTTCATTGTGGTTTCCTTGCAAAAATGATGTTATTGACATTGTGGTTTCCCTGCAAACATAATTCTAAATAGCGTTGTTATTAACATTTTTTTAACGTTGTTCTTTCCTTTAACCGGTTCTCTATCTTTAGAGCCGTACTCGGGTTTAATAAAATAGATGAGCTTTATCTAACTTTAATCCGTTAAACTGATAGTTGATACTAACGCAGCACTTTAATGATCATAATCATTATCCAGATTGAATTGAACCTTAATCTATTTTTCTACAGAATTGTTTTTCCACTTGATAAAATTTCAAGGTGTTTTCTCGTAATGGATGATTAATAAAATTGATATAAATATTTGTTAAAGGTTCACATATTCTTTTTATATGATATTTCTGGAGAAGGACACAATGACAAAAAAAATGATCTGTACTTGGATACACCTAATGCCTTAATAAAGTATCGACTTAAAGGAAGTGTTCGGGAAAAATTAAAAGGGGGTATAGGCTTAGGTCGAAAAATATTCGATTGTGATTGCTGCTAATTTTACTTCTATCTGTTGCGTCTATAAGGAGAAAATTGTTAAAAAATACTCATTCCGAAGAATGTAGCGTCCATACAAATTCAGAAAGCTGCAATATTCTACTCGACTCGCATCGTAAAAAATCAATTAAAATCCAAACAAATCAATCAGATATTACAACCTATAATCATCGATTTTTTTCCTACGCAATCGTATAAAGTTGATACTTTATAATATTTTTTATTTGTTTTGTATATACTGCACTTAAAACGACGATTTTGCCGCGAGGAACTAGGGTTTCTAACGATTTTTTCGTCGAATGAAATTTGCGAAAATGAACGAACGAAACTGACAAAATTCCGCTAAAAAATTTTGCGAATTTCGATATACTTTCGACGAAATTTTCTACCTCATTTTCGTAAATTTTTTTAAATCGATTTTTGCAAAAATATCTTAACGATTAATTTCGCGAAAATGATCGAAAATGTTCGTTTATGTTATCATTTTCGTTGACTGAACTCAGTGATGTTCAATCACAATTTTTGGTTATATATTTCCAATCAAGATTTGCCTAAAGAAGCCAAGCTAAAGACTATGATTTATAATTGATAGATCAAATTAATAGTTGTAGTTTGCAATATTAAATGTTTACATCATCTGGTTGCACAGATATAGGGATTAGAAAATTTGAGTTTATGACAAAAACTCTATTCCTTTACGAGAAGAGTTTAGTTATATAAAACAACTCCTGAACCAAAAAAAGGTCTAGTCTAAAGATGATTAAATTCACGAAATCCGCCAAAAAGAATTAAAAAATTTTAAAATTTTGTTTTTCGGAAACGTAGAAATTTACACTCTACCAGCAAAATGCTTGGTCCTAGCACATTGTAATTGAGAATTTGAAAAATATTTAACATTTATCATTTTCTATATATTTCGCTTTTTTGTTCGTTAAAAGTTTCTAAAAAATCCGCACAGATTTTTAGGAAACATTTTTGAGCAGTAAGTTGTGATTCTGGGATGAATAGGGAATATATTCAGTAATTTTTCTATATGAAAGATGAGAATGGATGAGAGGATGAATGAATCAATGAATGTATTCCTTGTTTTGAACGTAAAGGAAACCTCTTCTCATCCAACTTGTCATCACAGAGAAGAAAGATTTCCAGGCGTCCTCAACCTACAGTTAATATACATCAATTTAAAATTATAAAAAAATCATAATTACTCCCGCTGTTTACCCGCGCTTGCTTGCAAATAACGAGTTTAGCTATTTGCCCTATAAAGTTGACGTACTCAGTTTATAATCTCAAGACCAAGGTTAACCAAGTTCCAAACTTTATGTAGAAATCCCAAAAAATTGTGACGTCACTAAAGGAATTTCTAATGCCATTATGTTTTAGTGAAAATGACTTTTTTAATATTTTATCAGAGAGCATTCAGATTGAAACCTGAACTGGTTTAAAGGGAGTGTCTGGGTAGATATGGTGGTTGAGTTAAGAATGTAGTATAGAGAACTTTTTAGGGTTAATTAGAGACCTATCAAACGTTTATACGGTGCATATTTGCTGAGCAAGATTGCAAATCTTATCTTTAAAATACACATAGATTGTCCATTTTGGAGGGATGATTTTGAAAATCGATTTTTAAAATGTAATGTAAACGAAAAATGTAACAAAAGCTCTAAACAGTAAACTACTCCTACACTCCCTTTAATCCCTTCACTAATTCTCTTCAGTGTAGTTTACCTCTTCACAGTTGTCTAGCTCTAGCAGAGTTTGTCTCATTGCCTGACAAAAATAGTTTTTAAAAAGATTTAAAATTTTTATTCAAAAGTATATACTTTCAGTGTCCGAATTTAAAATTTAAGCCGCGTCTCAAATCCACCAAAAACCAGTTTCAATTTAGCGCCGGCCGCGGCTCAAAATTCGGCCTCAGTTTACTTTTCACATCTTAAACTTAAAATCGTTAGTCGTTTGCCTTGAATATTTTAGCCTTCATTCTAAAAACTAATCAATTTAGAAATGGTTTAAGTTTCAAGGACTACCAAACTGTAAGAAAAAAGTTTACAAAAAAGTCCGAGAATAAGTCATAAATTAAATCTAGATTAGAAATTATTTTAAATCAGTTCAATTGAAGGAAAAGTTGAAAAGTAATTAAAATGATTAAACAAATATTAACAAACAGTTGTGAGCCATGAAAAACATTTTCAAGAAAAAAGAATCAACTTAAACTTAAAACTAATCCTTTTCTTTGAAACTAGATTAAAGAGAGACCATCAAATGAAGGTTTAAAGGAAAACTAGATAACAAGGTTTCTTGAAGGAAAATTTAAGTATCTTGGTTATTAAACATCTGTATTGTCGGAATTTAAAAAATATTAAGAGCTTTCAGTCTAAAACTCTATTTTAATGATCGAGGAGTGAATATCTTTAGGTTCTACAATCTACATCTTAGATAGATTTATCTAACATCTACATTTAGATTTTCAGAGATCGTAGAAAGGCAATTTTTTACTTCCTTCAAATAATTGCAATACGGAAAGACGAACCTTACTATTTTTTGATTTGATAACAGGAAGAAAAGCATTTGTATTCGTTTTCTTAAACCTTTTATCTAAAAAATAAATTGCATGTCAGCATATTAAGTTCTAAATAAAAGAAAACTTGGTCTCGTTCCTTCTATTTATGAACTTTCACGTCAGCTCTTTTGCATTTTTTTTTGAGGCAAAAAAAAACTTTTATATTTAGCGGAAAATTTTAGGAAATGGTTAGTTTATTCGAATACAACAGCGTATGTTTGTGCGCTCACAATGCCCTAAAGAAAAGCGTTATTTATTTTGCCCTGAAGGTCTGCACTAGGGTGGTTTTTTCTGCCCCATTCTTAGCAAACTTTTACGTCAACCATCTTTATATATGGCTGTGGGATTGAACGCATTTTCTCAAACGCATATTCAAGTTATTCTATAGAAAAAAGTAGTGATGTAATAAAACAAGTGTTTGGGATTTCTATAGGAATTATTTTTATTCACATAAAATCTACATCTTGAAATTTTCAATAGAAAAATACTTACAGTCGCAAATGCAATTCCAAGGAGTCCCATTAGTCTTGGGTTAGCGCCGTAACGGAAATGTTTCTCTCCAAGTTGGAATGCAAACTTGTAGAAACTGTAGTAGTTCTAAATATAGAGTAGATACATTGTAGAAACTGTAGTAGTTCTAAATATAGAGTAGATACATTGTATATATATTTATCATTTATATTTGTCTAAAGCAAAATTACATTAAACAATATAAAAGTTTACAAACTAATACTCTTTTCTCTGGATATCGCATTTTAAAATTGACAGGGTTTGCCAAAAAANTAGTTCTAAATATAGAGTAGATACATTGTAGAAACTGTAGTAGTTCTAAATATAGAGTAGATACATTGTAGAAACTGTAGTAGTTCTAAATATAGAGTAGATACATTGTAGAAACTGTAGTAGTTCTAAATATAGAGTAGATACATTGTAGAAACTGTAGTAGTTCTAAATATAGAGTAGATACATTGTAGAAACTGTAGTAGTTCTAAATATAGAGTAGATACATTGTAGAAACTGTAGTAGTTCTATATATAGAGTAGAACTAATAATGATAAAAGTAAAAATAATATTTAAGAAAAAAAAATAATGATAAAATCAATTTTGGTATCCTTATCAATTTTTGGGTTAAAGAATATCTATCTAAATCTATTTATATAAATACATATAGTTTCATAAAAATACAAATTGATAATGAAGAGAAAACAAGAATGTTTATTGTAACATATTTTCTTTTTTTTCTTACAAACATTCATATTATTATTCAATGCATATTCAGGAAGGTTTAAAATACAGCTAAAAAAAACAACTAGAGAACCACTATGCCACATATTGAATCGCCGAAGGAGATATAGAAATGAATTGTGTTTTTGCCACAAACTTTTCCATTACCCATATCTTTTCAACCTGGTGGTGTAAACCTTTAATATTTCGAACTTGGACTATTTTATCTATCAGAATTCATAGTTTGACATTGGGTTGAAAAAAAAATCAGAGTTTGCGGCAAAACCTCATTTCCTTTATAATTCAGTTCCAACTCAGGCAATTAATATATGATTTAAATAACTCATGACAAATAATTCATTTTTTAACCGACGTGATTTCACTTAAAAAGTGATTTGCTCAATTTTCAGGATTAAACAATTTTTAAGCCATAATAACGACTATATCTTCTACATTTCTTTATTTGAAACATGTTTAAAAGGTACCAGTGTGAATCAGAGGGCCCCCTATATATTTCTAAATATCATCCTTACCTTTGGATCCTCGCCTTTCATTTTTGACATGTCTCGTATAATGAGTCCGACTATACCCAGTATTCTGCAGTACACACAATTCAATACTCAAACAATATTAGATATTATTACTCTATGTAAGGGGAGTGTTTATCTTGCTTCAAAATTTAAACTGGGGTTATGTCTTATCTTGCTTTACCTCTGCAACTATGTGCCACCTTTTTATTCTTCTTATTTTTAAGAAATTGCAATTATCAGCAATGCCAATGCGCATTGTGCCTTACACAATTAATGCACGATATGCAATTCATTGAACAAATTTAAAATCAACGAGCCAGTTTTTTTTTATAATTCTTGAACAAATCTAGAATTTTCGTGAACTAAAAATTAAACCTAATTTTTATTTTCTATTTTAGGGCATTATGCATCTAATTCTAAAGCGTAATATGAGTAAATTTTATTATAAAATTAAAAACTAAAATAAGAAAAGATTCTTTAATCTACATAAATATAGAGCATTGTGTTAAGTCAATGAGTTCTTAAAGCCTCCTCTCTCCTAATCCTAATCCTAATTTCGTAGAACTGAAACAGAGAACTCATATTCTTGAAATATATGTAGAGGCACGAAAATAATATCATAAAAGAATCTGAATTGAGAAGACGGGGGCGGGGGTGGGATGATGTGTGGGGGGGAGGGTGCTTAAGGTGTGAATTATTTTCCTTATTGAATGATCTCGGAGTATCTCCGTAAACTTCTCCTCATCTCCTAAACAAGAAATAAAAAAGTAAAAATAAAAATATTTAAAAATATTTTTTTGAAAATTTTATCGGATTTGAGTTTGACTGAAATTTTTGTGTGCAATTCCTACGGGTTGAAAAAGAAATCGCCAAATCAGGTTTTTAAGAATATTTGAAAAATTAAGCTTTTTGACTCCCTGAGATTTTAGCCGGGAGAAAAGTTTCAAACATTTATTTGTTCCGACATCAATTTATTCTATTTTTTACTTGGTGTAGCTGCATACATTTAGGGAATAATTTGTCAAAGGGAGAAAACGACCGCTGAAGAACGGGGTCCGGGTACTTCCATTATCTTTTTTTTTCTTTTTTTGGTTCAATCAGAGAAGTTTTTAGCTTTTTATGATCAGAGAAAGCTATATCTGGTCTAGACCACTGCTGTATTGAATGGCTTAATTAACTTGTTTTTTAGTCCTAAGGACAATTTTACTGAGTCCAAGAAATCTTTAGTTGGTTCAGGTCCATGGAAGCTAGAAATGCTGGATTTAGTAGATCAACTAGAACAAAAAAATCCATTTTTGCCCCAAGAAAGCTTTATTTGGGCTAAAAAATGGTTTTATTTGGCGCATACATTCAATTGGTAAGTTCATTTTGGTCCATAAAAAGATTTTTAGTGCCAGGAATGTTGTTTGGGTGACCATGACAGCTGTATTTGCTATAAAATCGATCTATCTTCTCAAGGAAAACTGCATTGGTCTCAAAGTTTATTTGGTTCAAGAAAGCTTTATTTGTTGCAAAAAGAATGGGTCAAAGAAGGCTATATTATGCCCAAGAAAGTTATATAGAATGACAGAAAGCTTATTTGGTCAAGAGAGCTTTCTTGGCATTTTGGTTCAAAAAAGCTTTTCTTAAGTTATTATTGGTCAAAAAGGGCTCGAAAATCTGAGCTTACTGGGACAAGAACGGTATGTTAAATCAGCGTGATCTGGTCCAAATAAAGCTTGCAATTCTCACTTTACACCACTTTAGTCACAAACTGAGATTTTCTTAACCCTGTATCTTTACATTCCGATGCGGCGAAGACCTTTGATATTTCAACTATAACTTATCTTATAGGGATTAGAAAACTTGAGTGTCTGGCAAAAACTTAACTTCTTTAGGGAGAAAATTTAGCAAAGGCACTGTAAAAGAAAAATGAATGGGGGTACGGGATGAAACCTGAGAATCTCAGGAGTTGAACGATACATATAAAATATCTATCTGATGTTCCTGTCTCGAGAAATTGATATAAAACTGTGTCAAATTTATACGAAGATTAATATATATGCAATTTTATATAAAAGTTGTAGTATTTAACAGATAATATTCAACAAATACGCAACCAATCTGAAAACGACGATATCCCACAGAAGCGTAAGAATCTCAGGTTTACTTTTTATTTTGTATTTTTTTAATAGATATAATTGATAATATAATTACGTATAGTCCGTAAAGTCCATATTACGTCACCAGAACTTCAGCCAATGGGAGTGCAGCATCGTTGTCAAGTGATACAGATAAAAATCACGTGACCAGTGTCTTATATCGTTTCTGGTTTCATTCTATAGCCCCTTTCATTTTTCCTTTACAGTCCCTTTAATTTGTTCTTTTGGGAAAAAATATGAAAGATGTGAGTACCACAAAAAAAACTGTCCTGTATAAATGGTTTACTTACATTACTGCAGAGTACGAACACAATATACAATACTTCACAATAATTTGAATTTGATTCATGCTGGGTATTACTTATAACACGGGGCAAGGAATATAATAGGAACTTCCATAAAATAGTGTGTACTGCAGTTTATGGGAGGGATTGCCCGAGCCAAAAAACTTAAAACAGGATATCGTGTTGAAACCCAGTATCGGAAAACCCGGGTTTCACAAATGGGATACGTCGTGTTGATTCCCAGTATCGGAAAACCCGGGTTTCATAAATGGGGTACGGATATTTAGTTAATTTCGATATATTTTTTTAAGAATTTTTTTCTTCATTTGGTTAGTTTTATTTTCTCTTTTTATTTTCTATTTCTTGAAGTAAATCTACGCAAATGTACAGATCCCAAAAAGGAAACTCAGAAGTTTTGTTTAACGATAATCTTCTATATTTCCGGCTCTGAACAGCACTGAGAGAGTTTACATTCCCTCTGCAGTACACATTATTTATGAGAGTTCCTAATATATTTCTTAAATGGTTTGGGATGGGTTGGGATGGACTGGGACGGGTTGGGATGGGTTGGGACGGGTTGGGATGGGTTGGAATGGGTTGGGATGGGTTGAGATGGGTTGGGATGGAATGGGACGGGTTTGGATGGGTTGTGGTGGGTTGGGATGGGTTGGAATGGGTTGGGATGGGCTTAAGATGGGGTCGGATGAGTTGGGATGGGTTGGGATGGGTTGGGACGGGTTAGGGTCGCCAGTCGGGGAAGGTCAAAACTCGTGCAGAAAAAGATTAAAGCGTTCGTAACCTTTGGTGCGATAATCTCTCTGTCATTACACATTAAAAACGACATTTAATGAATATCACTTTTAGAATAAACCCTAATATTCTGTTCGGAATCATTAACGGAATGTTATGGTTTCAAAAATAATTTTATATCATAACAATCTTTTAAATCTTGAAAGGCTAAATCGGTGAGATCAATTTTACAACATAAATCTTTATAAATAAGATAAACAATGAAATTCAAAACAAATGATTGCTATCTGTTTATTTTTGTTAAACCATAAGTTGGGTCTGTCCTAGAGAACACTTTCTAGGACCCCCGGCCCCCCCCCCTTCGGGTGCCCAGTTATGACCAATATTATTTTTCAACAAAATTAAAGCTTTGTATCGTTTTAGGGTTAGGTCAGGTTAAGACAATTTGTGGGCCGAGCGCTGCGGCTAAGACAAGCAAGGGGGCCGAGCGCCGTGACTTGGACCAAAAAGCATTCTCTGGGAAATTAACCATAAGTTTCTTTTAACACATTTCGTACTATTTGATGTTTTGACGCGCCGAAGATTTTTTGTTGTTGTTGAAAATTACTATTGTTAATATTTTTTAACAATTAATGTTTTAACAGTTTTTTCTGTGTCATAATCCCTTTTTAAAAATTCTAAATTCCTCTATTTTCTAGAATTTAAAGATTTTTAGGATTAAAAAAAATAAAAAGGTGGGCATTATTCAAAAGAAAGCCTAACATTTTTTTTTCGAAATATAGAATTTATCAAAAGTGTTACGAGATCAGAAACACATTGTTTTAAATTACATTATTAAGTATAAACATTTTTATTAGATATCTTTATATTTTACAACAAAAAGTTTATAATTTCGATATTCCGATCAAAATGTTCAGGTTCCATCTAACAGATTAGGTTTTGTGGGAAGGATGGGGGGGAGATATATATATCTAACACAATAATAACATTCAACAACATTCAATATTTATTTATAACAATAATATTTACCCGTGTTTCCTCCATATTTATCTAAAACCAATTTGTTAGTATAAAAATACAATTATTTTTCTACTCGACAACTCTAGAAGGATAGTCAATAAATGAGAAGAGGGGGGGGGAAGGGGGGGGCAAGGACTGTTTTAAAATTAAAAACCATTGCTATTTATCAATTTAAAATTTAATAAATTATTGTTTTATTTGGGGGAAAAACGTAAAATAGTAAGGAAAGCACTAGTATCTAAAGCATTTGAGACAGAAATAATCTTTTTTGGAGTTATTCTTAAAAATTTTAGTTATAAATGTTTAGGACATAGAATTTCTTCTGGAAGTTTTTGGGCTTAGGCCTATCAACCCTCATACTTCTAAAATTTAATGTCCTAGAGGTCGTTCTGCAGATCTGTACATTTAAAAAAGAATATTAACATTTGTGTAAATTAGGGTAAAAAAGTACCGCAGCTATGTTTGTATTGGTGGAATATGCCGAAACGAGAATGAATATTGATATAAATCTACACAACACAGTATACATTATACAGTATACTTACTACCAATAGAATAATATCATTTCAATATGAAAGAAAAAGGGCATACACAAGTATTATTATGTAGATTTAAGATCAGAATCCTACTTTTTTCTTCCTCTATATTAATCCCTTAACTAAACCTAGTGTATTCTCTGGGGAGTATTCTGCAGTAATCTTATGTAGAAGGATAATTAGAGGGATAATTGGATTATAAATATTCACATCTCTTCTCGCCTTCTCAGAAAATCCAAGAATACAAATCTATTATTACAGTACTCCATTATTCTTTTTCATGTAAGTTTTCACTACTATTGGATAAAAATTCAAGACTAAGGAACTGAGTTTTTGCCACAAACTCAAATATTCTTATCCCTATATCTTGGGAACTCAATGTCGTAGACCTTAGATATTTCAAACTATTAATTCTGTTAGATCAAATAATCTAAGTTTGAAATATCAAAGGTTTATACCCACTGGTTGCAGAAATATAGAAATTAGAAAATTTGAGGTTGTGGCAAAAACTCAATTCCTTCAGAAAAAAAACGGAACACTTGCCACAATCTCTGATTATATAATCCCTATATCTTTGCAACCTGATGGTGCACACCTTTAAAATTCTAAGCTGAGACTACTATATCTAACAGAATCAATATTTTGAACGACAATTACTTTCAAAGATATTTAAGATAAAAAATTATAATTTGAAACAAATGTTACGAATGTTGCGACCTCCTAAGCAAGAGGAGTTAAAATTGAAAACATATTATATTTCAATCTAATTTATTCTAGTTTGGCGTGATTAAAACCTTAATGTGATGTTAAATTAAATGATGGTTTGGCGTGATTAAAACATTAATGTGATGTTAAATTAAATGATGGTTTGGCGTGATTGAAACCTTAATGTGATGTTAAATTAAATGATGGTTTGGCGTGATTAAAACTTAATGTGATGTTAAATTAAATGATGGTTTGGCGTGATTAAAACATTAATGTGATGTTAAATTAAATGATGGTTTGGCGTGATTGAAACCTTAATGTGATGTTAAATTAAATGATGGTTTGGCGTGATTAAAACCTTAATGTGATGTTAATTTAAATGATGGTTTGGCGTGATTAAAACCTTAATGTGATGTTAAATTAAATGATTGGACGGATAATATAATTATCTTGACACAACAACTAGGAAATAAATCAAAGAAACTAACAAAGAATTGTAAGCAAGATCCTATAGATTTGTAGCCTACTCCGGTTCATTTGAAGTACCCGCCAGACTTTTAAGCAGATAGAGCAAACTGTGTACAGTACACATACGGCACAGTAGACTAAATGATTCCCGTGTCACTTCTTCCACTCTTGTTTATTGGTCCTAACTCCTACAGGGGGTTCTGGGCTTTTTGTGAAATTTTTGTTGCATTTTTAATTTAATTCAATAGCTAAGGTTTAGAAAACATTATTACACAAGTTAAATTAGAAGAGTTAGACAAAAACAAAACTTAAAAAACAACATTGAGTTTTTAAAGAACCAAGTCATTTTTTTCACATTGAAGTGTTGCCAATTAAATCTTTTTTTTGAATCAAAAATTTGTCAAATTAAAAAAAAATTTCTGCATTCTATAACAAAAAATAATATTATCAAACGACTTCAATTCAACAACAGTCAACACAAAGTGACAAAGGTTCTATTTATTTAATGAGAATAATTATTTATCAGGCAAACAGATTAATCTTAAAGGGACTGTAGAGTATTTTCAAGTGACCCTCAATGCAAAGATGGCATACCCGATTCACATAGGTACCCTTTAAACCTTTATCTTATCAATAACGTGATATTGTCTGTCTAATAGTTTGGTTGAATTCTGACAATCAACTCCATTGTATTTGTTGGCAGAAATCCGCAAGTCACTTTTATAGTAAAAATGGACACCTCCATCATTCTTGACCAGATCAAGCTTTTAAGAGAACCCTTGTTATTTGGACTTTCCACTAAATATATATTTCAGTTTTTAAACGTCACATTTCATTAAAAAAGAATTATACAAAACAAAATGTTTCACGCCTCATGACGATCTTATATATATATGGAGGGTCACTTGAAATTACGTTTACAGTCCTTTTAGCCATTTTATTAGACCCCCCCCCTCCCTCCCTATTCCCAATCTCCCCCCTCTCTCATATTCATAAAATATTATGCTTTATCAACGATCTCGATATGTACATAAACATATAATTTAATACATATTAAAGCACTATGTAGTATGTACAGCAGGAATTAGTTAAAGATTTAATGTTTAAAGGGACTGTAAGCGAAATTTCAACTGATCCTACATATAAAGATGGTAATGCCCAATTTACAACGGTACCCTTAAAAGCTTTGTCTGATCAAGTATAAATTAGATATCCATGTTTTGTTTTAAACTGTTTACTTTCTTTTGTGGTTTCTATGCAAAAATGACTTGCGGGTTTCTTGCTGTTAAGAAAAAAAGTAGGAAAATGAACGTTATCTTTCACATTTGTTAAGATTAAGTCTTCAAAGATACCGTTGTAAGTTTGGAATTTTCATCTTTGCATGAAGTACCACTTGAAATTACGCTAAAAGTCTCTTTAACTTACTTGGATCAACTTGGTTTAGTTTAGGGAAGAATTGTACAGCTTGAGGACTCAGCTGAAACAGTTCATTGAAGGCACTCACCCCGACCTAAACATTTCAAACATACAATACATTGAAGGCACTCACCCCAACCTAAACATTTCAAACATACAATACATTGAAGGCACTCACCCCGACCTAAACATTTCAAACATACAATACATTGAAGGCACTCGCCCCGACCTAAACATTTCAAACATTCAATACATTGAAGGCACTCACCCCGACCTAAACATTTCAAACATACAATACATTGAAGGCACTCACCCCGACCTAAACATTTCAAACATACAATACATTGAAGGCACTCACCCCGACCTAAAAATTTCAAACATACAATACATTGAAGGCACTCACCCCGACCTAAACATTTCAAACATACAATACATTATACATATATGTATCAATTTAGCTTGTTGTCGGGGTGTTTGTCTGTTTGTTTGTATTCATTAAAATTCAAAACGGCTGAACTGATCGGACCCAAATGTTGTGCGGGACCTCACGTGACCCCAGGGAAGGTTTATCAATGATCAAAATTAAAAAAAATTTGTGTTGTTTAAAGTGTTTTATTTTTGTAAAATTTTAAAAATGCGCGAAGAAAATTATGAAATCCGCAAACGTTGAAATAGAAGATGGGCGCGAAGCGCTCTAAAAATTTGCTAAAAAGAGACAAGCAAAATTTATTTATAGATGGTGGATTGAATGAGATTGCTTAGAAATTCCTTCCATCAACTTCACAAGGAATTCTATGAAATATCCGAAGACGGAATTTTTGAAATGTACATAAAAAGAAATTCCAGTTTCGAAATAGAGTTTATTTACTGATGTTGAAGTATTACATTTGATTAACAAATCATGATGTTCGCCAAAAAATCAAAACTGGGTTTGATGCCAAGATTTTTTTTGTAAATTTTTCAATTTGTAAGTTTCAGACTCATAGATAAATACTTTGTTGATAATTTTATTTACACAATTCTATCTAGCAAAGCCTAGGAAAGCAGCTGGTCAACTAGTAGAAAAACTTTAAATATCATGGTCTTAGTCTTAAATCCGTGAATTCTTAAGTTTTTATCTGCCAAAGTTAGCATTTCATTTAACATAAACTTTGTGGTTGAGCCATCAACGTTAAGATCTAGGAATCTTAAGCTTATCCGGAGATACAACACAAACTTTTATCCTCAGGGGATTTATTTGGATCTACAACAGAATTGATTACACATCTAATTCATTCAAAGGATTTTTATCTATTTCAAGGATTGCACTCTAGTCTAAACTCTGCGAAATATTGATTGCACTCTAATCTAATCCATTAAAAGGATTGATTGCACTCTAACCTAATCCATTAAAAGGATTGATTACACTCTAGTCTAAACTCTGCAAAGGATTGATTGCACTCTAGTCTAAACTCTGCAAAGGATTGATTGCACTCTAATCTAATCCATTAAAAGGATTGATTGCACTCTAACCTAATCCATTAAAAGGATTGATTACACTCTAGTTTAAACTCTTCAAAGAATAGATTGCACTCTAGTCTCATCCATTAAAAGAATTGATTGCACTCTTGTCTAAACTCTTCAAAGGATAAATTACACTCTAGTCTAAACTCTTCAAAGGATTGGTTGCACTCTAGTCTTATCCATTAAAAGGATTGATTAAACTCTAACCTAATCCATTAAAAGGATTGATTGCACTCTAGTCTAAACTCTACAAAGGATTGATTGCACTCTAATCTAATCCATTTAAAGGATTGATTGCACTCTTGTCTAAACTCTTCAAAGGATAAATTACACTCTAGTCTAAACTCTTCAAAGGATAGATTGCACTCTAGTCTTATCCATTAAAAGGATTAATTGCACTCTAGTCTAATCCATTAAAAGGATTGATTACACTCTAGTCTAAACTCTTCAAAGGATAGATTACACGAAAGTAAAAGAATAGAGGTATAGAGATAGATCTAATCTAATTATTCTTGAAGGAAATGGATACTGTTGATTTAAGAAATATTTCATACATTTGAGACTTTATCTTGGAGGAGCTCCCAGGAGAATACCAACAGAAGTCTTTCAGGTTCCGTCAAACTCTGGATATCAACCTGAAAACGACAGTCAGAAATCCGAACATTTATTATTTACCCAACCCTCCTCTGTGTTTTTTTTCGTGTTTACTTAAACGGTCTAAAAACGCTAAAATTTCATAGCTTTTCTTTTGCAATCAATTTTTTTAGATGCAAAGGGTCGGGTGGAGAACGGTTAAATAATAACATACAACAACAAGTGTCACATGTTAATATTGGTTAAAAGTAAAAGTAAGTATTTTCTAATGTACTTTTTGAAAACATTTTTGCAGCCTCCCTTTCACCCTAACCATAAATCTTAAAGGTCTAATTTTTCTAATTTTTCCCCTTTCTCAACACCTGGGGGGGGGGGACACCACCTCCTATCTATATTGGACAAAAATAGCCCAAACAGGATAGTGTTAAAGGGAGTGTTCGCGAAAAATTAAAGGGGTAAAGGCTTACGGCGAAAATAATCGATGGTGATCCCTACTAATCTCACTTATCTGTTGCGTCTATAAAGAGAAAATTGTTAAAAAAGCCTATTAACGAAGAACGTAGCGTCCATACAAATTCAGAAAGATGCAACATGCAATTATGAAATATCAACTTTATATGAATGCGTCGAAAAATTATCGATGATTGTAAGTTGTAATATCTGAATGATTTGTTTGGAATTAAATAGATTTTTTTACGATCCGAGTCGTATGTTGCAACTTTCTGAATTTGTATGGACGCTACGTTTTTGGTATGAGTAGTTTTGAACAAATTTCTCCTTATAGACGCAACATATAGAAGTAAGATTAGTAGCGATCACCATCGATAGTTTTTTCCGTAAGCCTATACTCCCTTTAATTTTATGAATTTTGTTTTTAGAGGCGTTTACAAAGGGATAAGTGAAAACCGTGAATGTCAAAAAAGTAAAGGCCTTCCGCCGGTCTTTTAAGCTCTCAATTCAAATCCTTCCTCAATCTTTAACTTTGAATCGGTGGTTCAACGTATCTGAGTTTTTGCCACAAACTCCGATTGTTTAATCCCTAGATGTCGTTTACCTTTTATATTTCTCAAACTGTAAATTTTTATAGATCAAAAAGTCTAAGTTTGAAATATCAATTAATGCTATCTGGTTGCAAAAATTGAAGTTTGAGGCAAACTCAGTTCATTTGAACCATAGAGTAATAAACCGAAGAGGTGAAGCTTAGCTCAGATGTACACAACCGACCTGTCTATTAATTAATTAATAGATTGGTCGGTTGTGTACATCACGATATGTTTACGTATCTAACGTTGTTTACTTGTTTATAGAGCGATCGTATTTCTAAGGAGTGGTTTAATGTAGATAATTGAATATTAGTATTGATAATTAGATAGACACTTAATATGGATTGTAAACACAGGATTGTATACTGCAGTACATTCAAATTCAGTTGTTTGTTTATTTCAATACAATATTTTTTGACAGAATTTTTTGCTAATAAATTGAAAACCTACAAATTTGAAAATTGTCAAATGTTTGCAGTCAACATCATCGAATTCTCTTTAAATAAAAAAGAAAATCTAATAATTGGTCAATTCCATAAAATCCCCCTTTAGAAATACGATCGCTCTATATACAAGTGTACAACGTTAGATACGTAAACATATCGTGATGTACACAACCGACCTGTCTATTAATTAATTAATAGACAGGTCGGTTGTGTACAATTTTTAAAGATAAACCTGAGTAGGGCCGGTAGCTGGACTATCCTCAGATCTAAAAAAACTTATTTTTCACAATTTTATACTTTTCATGTCATTCATATTTTTTATACAAATAAGATTTAAATACGTCACAGAGGGTAGGAAAAACTTTAGAGAAAACATTGTTAATAATAAAGTGAAATTAAATATTTAAAACTTTTCTTTACTGCGTGGTAGATTTACCCAGAATTACTCATATTTTTTGTGCTTTTAATATATTATATTCATGATATCTTACAACTTCTTGACTTGATTTTTTAAAATCTTTTATCTGAAGACTACAAAACTTTTCGAACTGAGTTTATAAAAGGTTTCTAAAACATGTTTGGTTCAGCTTTGACATTTTGTTTATCGAGGCCTACAGGCCTAGTAACTATTTAAAGTCAGACGAGTCTGAAAAGTTGGTTATACATATTTTGACTCAATTCTTTGTGACATGAGAACCTTCCCATTTAAAATAAAAAGAATATTGTTAAAACTCTTTTTATGTAATTTGTGAAAAATTTTCCTGTCATTATTATCCTCAGTCTCATAATAATCCAAATCCTCATCATACTCCTCCTCTTCCCACCATTCCTCCTTCTCCTCCACCCCCTTCTCCTCATCCTTCTCCTCCACCCCCTTCTCCTCATCCTTCTCCTGTTCTACCGGCTTGTGTAAGTGTCTCTTATGTGCCTGTACCTCCTCTCTCTCTCCTTCTCCATTTTCTTTCAGACACTCCTTTTCTCCTGGTTCTACTGATTTTTCGGATTTCCCTGAATCTCCTAAAGGAATTGACTCTTTGCCACAAACTCTGATTTTCTAACCCCAATATCTTTGGAACCCAATGTCGTAAACCTTTGATATTTTTTTATCTAACAAAAGATATAGTTTGAAATTTCAAAGGTTTACGACGTTGGAATCCAAAGATATTGGGATTAGAAAATCAGAGTTTGTTGCAAATAGTCAATTCCTTTCCTGAATCTGCTGAATCTCTGATCTCGGAGGAGATATCGAGTTCAATCATTTCCTTCTCCAACCCCATTTCAATGATTTGAAAGGATCCCTCACCAGCAGCCATCATCTACAATATAAATGTATCGATTCTTTGCCCAAAAACTCAAATTTTAAAATCCTAATATCTGTGCAACCTGTGTAAACCTTTAATATTTCAAACTTAGATTATTTGATCTAACAGAGTTCGAATCTAAAGATCATATAATATGATTGGTTCCACTTAAATTTGTATTAAATTTTTCTAGATTTAAGCCGATGCTCAATTGAAACCGGTTTTTGGCAGATTTAAGTCGCGGCTTAAATCATTAAATTCTAACACTGAATTCATAATTTTAAATATCTAAGGTCTACAACATTGGGCTTAGAAAATCAAAGTTTGTGGAAAAAACTAAAATGCTTTGGAAATATATATTTTTTAGAACTTTTGGGTTTCAAAGGAATTGAGTCTTTGCCACAAACTCTGATTTTCTTATAACTATATCTTTGGAACCAAATGTTGTAAACTTTAGATATTTCAAACTATTAAATCTGTGAGATCAAATAGTCTGAGTTTGAAATAGCAAAGGTTTACAACATCGGGTTCTAAAGATATTGGGGTTTGAATAGTGGAGTTTGTGGCAAAGACTCAATTCCTTTTTCCAGATAAACTCCGTAACAAAAATGGAACCTTCTTTGAATCTGTTAAAAATTTTAGAAAGAAATTGAGCCTTTGCCACAAAATCTGATTTTCTAATCCCTATATTTTTGCAACTCAATGTCATAGACGACCCTTAGATATTTCAAGGTGTAAACTTCTGTAATATCAACTAATACTCAACTAAGACTCAATTCCTTTGGACATCAATATTTTTAAGAATTAAGGGGTTTCAAATTGTTTCCGGATAAATTCCGAAATTCCGTGACAAAAATGGAACCTTCCCTGAATCTGTTAAAATCTTTTAGAAATTAAGGACTGAATGGAAGTGAGTAATTGCAACATACTGTGATTTTCCTATCCCTATATCATTTCAACAAAATGTCGTAGACCTTAGATATTTCAAGTTGTTAATTCTGTTAGATCAAATAATCTAATTTAAAAAAAAATCAAAAGTTTTTATCACCATGTTGAAAAGACACAATTCCTTTTTTTCAACCAAACTAGAAACCACTCTTTCCTATTAAAAGCCACACAAAAGTCAGCGACATGCTAAAAAAGTGAACGATACAATTTTGATTTAGAATAAGTTTATTCCTTAAACTTGTTCGGCATAGGTTCTGTGTAGCCCCTATGCCGAATGAGATATTCATGTTTTATTTGTTGATGATTTTTATTACAAACCGTGAAAACGAAGATATCTTTCACATTTTTGATCAGATTCAGATATTTTAAATCTATCGTTGGTAATTGGACATGGCCCAATTTAAATTTAGGACCATTCTTTAAAGTTTCAGGAAATGTTCCGTAAATATTTACCGAACCAAAATAGTTCCGGAAAATAGCAGGAAACACTAAAAGTATAAAATTACAATAGATGCATTATACATTTCCTAATATTTGTGCGCAAATTTAAAGAATAGAATTAAATACAAATAAACAGGAAAATGTAAATTTACAGAATTCAGAATTTAAAATTTCCTTTAAAGATTTGCTAAGACGAAAAATGAATTCATAGTTTAAATCTCAAATATATAATTGTAATTTTAGAATACATTTAATTTTGTTTAAAGTTAAAAGCTTTTATTTAATATGCGAAGTTCATAAGTAAGTTGTACACGATCCGTAAGCGGTAAGCTTGCCGCTGGAAACTTGTTGGTAATATTTAAACCATTTAACACCATTAAACCCCTAACTAAATCCTCAGTTTATCCCTTCATTATTGTATTTAATGCAATTTAGGTTTTGATTACAGGGGCTCTCTGTCCGACTGAAATGTGTAGGATCATATCATGGATATCTAACTCATTACTTGATCAGGAAAAGCTTATAAGAGAATTCTTGTGAATCAGACATGTCATACGCTAGAAATGAAAGGGCAATTTAAATTGCGTTTACAGACCTTAATCACCAATCAGTCAAAGATGCACTAAATAAAAGGAAATCAAAAGAGTAACTATCAGTGTAAAACAATTTTCAAACTAAAAAAACAAAAGCCGGGAACTTCTATGAACAAGTAACTTCAAGATTAAAACACTTTTCAAACTAGAAAAACGAAATTATCTTCCACATTTCAGACAGACAGAAAGACCCTTAAATGACAGCCTAAATTGCATTAAATACAATGATGAAGGAATTAATTTAGGATTTTGCCTCAGATCTAGGGGTTTGAATTAGTGTAAATTGGTTTCTCAGCTGAAAGGTTACCAACTGTTGATTTAAGTATTGGAGCCGGTGCTCCTTTACTCTATTACAATTAAAAGTGGCCAGTATAGTCCACTCTTACAAAGTTTTATAAAAGATTCCATTTTTATTTTTTTTTGGTGGGGGGAGGGGGAATTGAAAATATTGATAATTAACTTTATATTCTTATGTTAGTTATAGTTGATAGTTTATATTCTAATATTAGTTATAGTTGATAGTTTATATTCTTATATTAGTTATAGTTGATAGTTTATATTCTTATATTAGTTATAGTTGATAGTTTATATTCTTATATTAGTTATAGTTGATAGTTTATATTCTTATATTAGTTATAGTTGATAGTTTATATTCTTATATTAGTTATAGTTGATAGTTTATATTCTTATATTAGTTATAGTTGATAGTTTATATTCTTATATTAGTTATAGTTGATAGTTTATATTCTTATATTAGTTATAGTTGATAGTTTATATTCTTATATTAGTTATAGTTGATAGTTTATATTCTTATATTAGTTATAGTTGATAGTTTATATTCTTATATTAGTTATAGTTGATAGTTTATATTCTTATATTAGTTATAGTTGATAGTTTATATTCTTATATTAGTTATAGTTGATAGTTTATATTCTTATATTAGTTATAGTTGATAGTTTATATTCTTATATTAGTTATAGTTGATAGTTTATATTCTTATATTAGTTATAGTTGATAGTTTATATTCTTATATTAGTTATAGTTGATAGTTTATATTCTTATATTAGTTATAGTTGATAGTTTATATTCTTATATTAGTTATAGTTGATAGTTTATATTCTTATATTAGTTATANCCCCTCCCCCACCTCCCATTCCTTCCTCCCTTGTACGGAAATTTAAGGATTTGTAGCTAGGGTTCCTAACTGCTGAGCGTACAAAATTTGGTTGTGTTTGTGTATTTAGGTATTTTGGTAATTAGGTATTTAGGTATCGATGCTTACTTATAATACATAACTATAAAGTAAAACTATTTGCTTTGTAGCAGTATTAAATACACTAATTATTTTGAGTCAACATCGTCCTTCTACTCCATAGTTTTCTGGTTCTCACTGTAGGTTATTCAACTCTTTATGTTTAATATAATCAGTAAGCAACAATTTTCGGACCCATTTCATCCGTCAAGAGTCAAAACCTATCTATTTTCTAAGTCAAATATTTGAATTGATGGTATCCAAACCAAACATTGAAAAAGTCATATAATCAAAACTTTAATATAAAGATGAAAGAGCAATGTATTAAAAATAATATTCTTTTCCTTGACTTCAATTTCAAAAAGTTTAATCTGAAAATAATTTCACAAAATATAATTCAATTTACTTAAAATAAAATTATCTTTATTGCACCGAGTTCCATTTTGACCTAATTTTTAGATATTCAGGTTTAGATTATTTTTGTGTGTGCGAAACCCAGTGTATAAGAACAAAATTGCAATCTAAACACATTTAACTATTGCAGTTCCGCACGTCAAGCTAAAACAAAGTGCACGAAAAATTGAAATCTCAAATGTTTTAATTTATAAACCGAATAAATTTTATTTTCTCTTCCTTGTGCGTAAAACTAAAACAAAATGTCACAAAGTCCTACCAGAATTGTCGCATAAATTTGACCTTCTCTATCTGTCTATCAAGTGCTACTGTTATGTAACTAAACCCTGAAATTTAATTATATTTTCTGAAAACTTAAGACTATTTTATGTCTTCAATTAATCAGGTTTAAAGTCAAAACTTTTAAAGCACGAGAAATAAATCAAAATTTGTTTTAGGAAAGAATTGTCCAAACTTTATAAACAAGCACCGGAAAGGTCTAAGGGAAAATTATATTCTAAAATCCGATATTTATATTCCAAAACAACGGTATTTATATAGTTTTACAAAGATAATGGACGTGATTTCTTTCTGAATTAAGAAAAACATATTGTATGACAAAGTTTTTTTCTTTTAATGATAGAGGAATTGATTAATTGATATCAACTCTGGTCTCAGATAGATAAATCAGATTAAAGTAAAATTAGTACTCTGAAAGAATGGTGAACATTTCTGAAACTGGGATTAAATGCATAAGGTCTCCGACCATTTTCGTTAAAGGTTAAAGGAATCGTTAACGACACAGCCATTAACGGTCTGTTTCAGTATAGACGGCGCGCATCGCCAAAAAAATCGTTAAACAATTATATATAATGTTAACATATACATTAACAATAACATTAACCTGTAACATTTATAAGTTAATATCAATTAACATTAACATTTGTATGTTAATACTAACACTAATTAAGTTAATAAATAACATCAAGTCCAAAGTCGATAAAGTAAAAAACAAAGGACAATATACTTCCAATAAAGAAAACTGTAAAGTTATATTCTCGTTCACTTAAAGGGACTGTTAACATAATTTCACTTAAAGGGACTCTAAACATGACCCTCCATGTACTCGATGGCAATGCCCGATTTACAACGGTATCATACAAACCTTAATCTGATTAAAACTATGAAAAATACTGTCGTTTTTCTGATTTCTACATTGCTTCTTATACGCAAAATATGAGTAGTTTATAAAGAAACGAAAACATTCATACTTGATCGGACAAAGCTTTAAAGGTACTGTTGTGAATCGGACTTTGCCATCTTTCCATGTAGGGTCACTTGAAATTACATTTACAGTCCCTTTAATTTGAAAAAATATACTTTTATGTACTTTTAGATAAAAACAAGAAATCCTTCATAATACATTTCATATGTAATAATTAATTCTTAGTTTTTGAATTTTTTCTTAAAAACAAGTCAGCCGCAAAATATGTTTTCCTGGATTAAAAAATAATAATGAAAAATATTAATAACGTTTTTCTTTGATATAGTCAGAGCTGGGAACTTTTGAATGGTGGATGTCGGGATAAATGCTTGATCCACTCTTTTTTTTAATCTCCACATTTAATAAGGCGTGTTCTCCTCTTGTTATTAATCTCCCGATTAATTAACCGATCGGGATTTAGGATATCCCATTCTATAGTTTTCAATATAAGAAATATCACTTTACCACCAGAACTTGTAGAAAGAACGCATGTAAAAGGTTAAAACTACTGAATGGTTAAATAGTTGACCGAAAATCATGGGGGGGGGGGGGGATAGTATTCATATGTAAGATAAAAATCATCGTTTAAAAAAATTTAAAGATAAGCCGATAAAAAGGTCTCAAAATAAATAATTTCAGATGGAACACATTAGAAGGTAATAAATTCGTTTTGTGTCCAGTCGTTCTACAATATTATTTCATGATGCTGCAGAACAAAATCTGCAAAAATATTAAAAACTAATCTAATTATTTTTTTTAGATTTCCATTCTTTTTCTTTTAATTACATTTCTTTACAAGTGTTTTATAATTTTTTAAAATAAAATGGTTCGAGGCGCAGTTAATAATTTCAAATGTTCATCTTTTTTCTCCTTTCTCCGTCTGTATGTCCGCAGGTTCTCTTTTCTCCGTCTGTATGTCCGCAGGTTCTCTTTTCTCCGTCTGTATGTCCGCAGGTTCTCTTTTTCTCCGTCTGTATGTCCGCAGGTTCTCTTTTCTCCGTCTGTATGTCCGCAGGTTCTCTTTTTCTCCGTCTGTATGTCCGCAGTTTCTCTTTTTCTCCGTCTGTATGTCCGCAGTTTCTCTTTTTCTTCCCTTTTCCCGTCCATATATGGCGCTGCTTTTGAGAGAATGTTTACGAGTAGCTGTCTTTCCGCCATTATAAGACAGTGCACGATCACTCTTTCATTGTAAAGATGTCCACATCTCTGTTTTTAGTTTGTTTTACTTAATTGTAATTGCATTTTCTAAGTCACCACTTCTAGAAATTAAAGTCAGTTTTTATTTGCTGCGAGGGAGCAATAGATTCCCTGCTTTGTGCCGCACATTTTTGCTTTCCTATAAAAGGAGGGTTGCCATTCCATTAAAGGATAATCAAGTGACCCGGTCAGAGGTAATTTTGTTGTAGGATCCAACAGAGAAATGTCCTCAAGTCTCTTTTTACTGGTTGTGAGAAGGTTAGATGGTAGGTAGAGGAGAGTGGAGATAAGGATAAGGGCTTGTAGGAGTGGAGTAGTAGGAATGTTTTATTAAAAAACACTCCATTTGTCTACATTTTATACTGTTTCCCAGTCCAGTGGAATTCCTCAGGTAGTACCGCATTTAGTGTGCACCACTGCATGCAGAATGTGGAGTTGTCCCTTTTTGTCAGCTGTGGAGTGGAGCAGGGCCCTTTCAGAATGGGCTCCGATTGCTGAGTGGAGTGGATATAAAACCGGATTAGTTTTAGATATTTTAGCTCTTTGTTTTTCCAATTTCTTGACTTAGTACCCAGGCCGTGGGTACTGTAGTTAAAAGAGGAGGCTAACCTAATTGAATTTAAAGCATTGGGTAATCGGTTGCAAAAACATAAAACATGGAAAAGTATAAAAAATAAAATACGATATTTTATACATTTATACATTTGAAAATACACACAACCTACTTTAATCAAGTGTTTAAAATATGTTCATCACGTGATCATACTTCTAGAGACAGTATTTATGTGTTTGGGCAAGAGAAGAAAAACCATGCAGAGGCAAATTTCCGTTTTTTTAGAATTTTTAGCTCAACTTAAAATTTAGATTTTGTCAAACTGCCGAAATGTTTAGGAAAAATAAAGATTGTAAAACAACACGACTGTTCTTTGGTTCCAGGGGTGTTCCAGGGATTCCAGTCCAGGTTTAGCTAAATAACTTAACTTTTGCTATACAAATTTATTCACTCCACTCAACCTATATGGAGCATAAAGTCTTGTAGCACCGGCTTGTCCTGTTCATAGGGCTAGGTACAGTACAAACAGGGACCGGAAAGGTTGACCCGGCTCAGAAATCCAAATTTACTACGGCTGCCCCTGATATTCAATCCAAAAAAAGAGATGGACAATTGTAAATTTATATTTTGACGATTGATATTAAGAAAAAAATGTATGTGTTGATTTTTGAAATGGCCAAGATTTAAAAGAGATAAAAAAATTCAATTTCAATTTTTTTCTGTGGCAACCTTTTAAATTGGCTAACTTTTCCTTTTGCACGAAACTTTGATTGAAATCAAATAAGAATATAACACGAACTTGTAATTCTATCTGAGAATATATTTTCTAAAAATATTGGATATATGGTTTATCAAATACAACTTTTTGATTAAAAAACATTTTTACAAAAATCACAGTTAGTACAAAATTGCTAACTTTTCCTCTTTACTGCAAATCAGACAGATGGAAAAGTAATCTTTTGCGACATGACAACTACGGCGTTGTGACCTCGTAGCTCCTCTTGTTTGAATTTTATGCACGAGTATGAGAGAAGCATACTTATTCAGTCGAGGCAAGAAGAGTGTACCGATTCCGTACTGCACGTTCTCACAGACAGTTTTAAAAGTGTCTACGCAGTCTTTATTTATATTATCAAACACGTTCATAATAAGACCAAAACAAAAATAAAGCACTACGCGGTTCTATTTTTTATTAGTAGTTTGAAAACAGTTCACGAATGAGTGTGGTAAATCCCAGTTCTATACTCCCTCCTTCCTTCATCCCTCCTCCTTCCTCCATTCCTCCTCCTTCCTCCATTCCTCCTCCTTCCTCAATCTCACCCTCTTCTTACATCTCACCCCCTTCTTACATCCCAACCCCTACTCCATTCACCTCTACTTCTCCCTTTCTTGCCCCATCCTATATGCATCCTTCTGTATGTCCTTCTCCTCTCTTTGTGCTTACACCGCCCCACCTAATCCCTGCCCGTTTTTCCTTCCCTTTTCTTCCTTCCCTTTTCTTCTTCTACCTATCCTCCTCCTACCTCTTCCTTTCCCTGTCACTCTAATTTTCTATTTTCCAATTTCCTTCACCCTCCTATATCTTCCCATTTCCGTTCCTCTACCCTTCCCCCTCTTTCCTCAACCTGTCCCTGCTCCTCCACTCCTTCCTGTATGTTTAAGAAATTCAAAACGTTTTGTGCTTCTCAATAGCTCTTTAAAAAGATGTTTAATGGTTTAAAACATATAAGATCTCAATCTTAAGTAAAATTTACTGTGATTATATTTCATTCATTTTGAGAATTTAGATTGAATCAAACTGAAATATTGAACGAACTTGTAATTCTATAACCTGAGAATGAATCATACAAATATTTGATAGAAGCTTAAGTGCCCGGCGTTGCCCGTTGAATTTTGTAAAAAATTCCATTTTTAATTTTTAATTTTTTTAGCCTATTTTTCCCCAAGAGTTCCTTTGGGTTACCGTTTAACTAGCTCTAGCTAACACATATTCATATATATATGTGAACAGTTTTATTATATAGATATACTTTAACAAACACAACTTTGGGTTACCGTTTAGCTAGCTCTAGCTAACACATATTCATGTATATATGTGAACAGTTTTATTATATAGATATACTTTAACAAACACAACTTTGGGTTACCGTTTAGCTAGCTCTAGCTAACACATATTCATATATATATGTGAACAGTTTTATTTTATAGATATGTTTTATCAAACACAAAATTTTTTATCGACAGCATTTTTTAGAATTTTAAAAAAATCTTCTTTTTACCTTTTTGTCTTGAAATAACGAGTTTGTATTATCTCTAAATTTGGTCTGGTTTGGTTTTGCTGGTCTCAGAATCTTCTAAACGTTTTTTCTGAAATGAATGAAATACATTATTCAGGGTTCCATGAAACTAGTTTTCAAGTTTTCCCTCAACTCAGCTTTTCAAAAGTTGAATATAAAAAGATCAAAATTAATCTGAGAACTTTAATTTTGAAACCAGGATAGAAATATAAAGATATTTATGGTGAAGTTAACAAATTTAGAAGATAAAGGAATTGAGTCTTTGCCATAAACTCAAATACAATCCCAATATCTTTAGACAACCATACGGTGTAAACCTTCGATAGTTTGATCTAACAGATTTCATAGTCTACCATATTGGGAATTGGGATGCAAAGATATAGAGATTAGAAAATCAGAGTTTGTGGCAAAGACTAAACTTATTTATTTTAATAATGTATAAAGAAATCCTCAATATGACAAAAAAAAATTTCAATGGATTCCCAGTATGTCTTGTGATTTATTGTAGTAAACATTTTACTTTCTATGATTAAAAGTGTTTTGATCCTTATTTTCTAATTAGGTTTGAGCTCTCAACAAAAGTTTAAAATAAGTTTGCCAAGATGTTTGAAAAGTTTCAAATCAGAACTCCAAACATCATCTTTTTCTGCAACACTATCCTGGAATTCTCTTTAGTTTGGAATCATAAAAACAAAACCAGGAAAAATAAATGTGATTTTGATTTTACTCATCTGATCCATATATCTTTGCAACCGTTTTATTCTATATTTTTTATATTAAGAACGTTAAATTTTACTAGCTCAAATTATCAAACTTTCACTCAACAGGTTCCAAAAATAAAATTAGAGTTTGTGGCGTGTAATCAGTTCCTTTGAATCCGGCTGAACTGATCAAACTCAGAACTCACACGACCATAGTGAAGATTGATGACCAGCCAGTTCAAAAGTCTTAACGGAATTGAGTCTTTGCTACAAGCTCTGATTTTAAAATCCATTTTTGAACTATGAATTCTGATGAATCAAATAATCTAAATTTACATCATCTGAGTCTAAAACTAAAGAATGCGCGAATTTTAAGTAAGAGGTTAAAAGTTCTGTAAAATAATGAGTAGCTACTTAAATATTAAACTTTTTCAATTTTAAATTTGAATTTCCCGGGAAAATCTAAACCGATCAGAGAAAAGAATTATTACGTAACTATTGGTAATCAGCTGTTTTTTAAATTTTAAATTATTTACGTCACGGAAAACAAAACATATTTCCAGTTACAATCATATTTTGGGTTTACGTGCAAACTTTAATTAATCTAGAACGTGAAATTTATTAAATCAAGGTTTTTACTTTTAAATATATCATAATTAATTGAATGCCGCTTACCGCTGCATGAATGATGATAGGCAAATAGGGATTGCGGGATTTCAAGATTTTAACCCTGTGTTTAAATTTTAACTCGTCGATTTCGGCGAGCTAAATATTTAACCACAGGGTTAAATATTTAACTTCATGGTTAAAGTTCAGGTTTAAATTTAGTCAGAAGTGGCATTTAACCATGAACTTAAAATTTAAGTCAAAACTTTTCGTTCTTTAGTTTTAGACTCAGGCCTCAATGTTGTAGAGATTAGACATTTTGAGTTTGTGACAAAGACTCGATTATTTCCGTAAATTTACGAAAAAAATAGAAATAACTGCAATATTTTGTTTTGTGATTGTATTTGGCTAAAAATTAATAGTAAAAAAGTGTTGCGAAGCGCCCCGGAAGCCTAGTTTGTTTTAATTATAAAGTGACTAGTTTTTATATTTGCCAGGTTGTCGACAAGAGGATTAAAAGTCTCAAGTTTGTCCTTCAGAAATCCTGCACTCGGTGAAGAATTGAAAATAAAAACAATCGAAAAAGAAAATGTTATTAAAAATTTGATATAATGCATCAGACACTTTTAACTATTGACATTGATACAACAAACTTTGACAACAAATTGTGACCTATACTCCAGCAAGAATTTAAAATTCCAATATTGTTTCAAATAAATAATTTTTTCTATTATATTCCAATTAATGCAGTTTTTCAGGTTTAAATATCCTAATTGCAAGAGTGCATTTAAAGACTTAAAATTTTATAAGCTTCTTTCTTTAGGTTTCTTTTCTTAAATGAAAAGTTTTAATTTTAATGAAATTTTTAAAAAATAACTCAAGTGACTGAAATCAATTCAAACTTTTTGTGAATTTATATCAAATAATATATAAAAAATTTGACAACAATTGAAAGTTACATCTAAATATTTGCAAAACAAAATTGTGTTCTCTCTTCTATACTCCTCTTCAAGCAACAATCTTTAAATGTTGCTTTTCAAGAGGCATTTTTTGCATCGTAATTGTTAACCTAAATTTTCAGATTTTTGTGTAAACATTTATTACATTGAGATAACATTTGACCATACATAAACATTTCATGGGGTCGTGTTAGTTGCCACTGATCGATTCAACCATTATGAAGTTTATTGGATGCAACTATACAACTATACAATTTGTTGGTAACTTGGTACGGTATGCTCAATATTCAACCAAATTATAGACTAAGCATCAATATTGCAATGTGCTTTAACAAAAAAGAAAAAAATGGGTATTTTTAGCAATATGGCGTGGAGGGGGAAATGTTTCCTCATAAAAGAGGCTGAGAACCAATAGATATTAATAGTTTAAACTAAATAAAAATTCATTATCATAATCTTTAAACCTAATAGAGATAAAAATTCTAAAAACCGATGGAGAAAACCTAAGAATTAAGTCTTTGTAAAAACTCAAATGTGCTAATTCTTATATCTTCGTAACCTGAGGTTGTAAAACCTTTGATTTTTCAAATTGTTGATAAATTGATCTAAGATATTCATAGTTTAAATATTTAAGGTCAGAGGTATAAGGATTAAATAATCTTAAATTGTGGCAAAGACTCAATTCCTTTGAGATAAATATTAAAAAACCAGAGAATGGATAGTATCTTTAAACCAACAGAGATTAGTATTAAAAAACCAAAGAATGGATAATATCTTTAAATCAACAGAGATTAGTATTAAAAACCATAGAATGATTAATAGCTTTAATCCAACTGAGATTAATATTAAAAACCATAGAATGATTAATAGCTTTAATCCAACTGAGATTAATATTAAAATATCAAAGAATGATCAATATCTTTAAACCAATTGAGATTAATATTAAAAACCATAGAATGATTAATAGCTTAAATACAACTGAGATTAATATAAAAAACAAAGAATGGTCCATAACTTTAATCCAACTGAGATTAATATTAAAATATCAAAGAATGGTTCATAACTTTAATCCAACTGAGATTAATATTAAAAAATCAAAGAATGGTTAATATCTTTAAACCAAATAGGATTTAATTCTAAACACAACAGAAAGAATTGGAGATCAGTAGCTTTAAAGATTATGATTTAAACCAAATGGAGATTAATACTTTATAAAAAAGGAAGGGAACTATTCTAATTTTGATACCAACGAAGGTTGAGAATTCACAAACCCAATGAAGATTAATATTAAAAAAACAACCCGATGAAAAATAATACCAAACAAAGAAGTATAATATTATAAAAAATCTAATATTATATTATAATAAATCTAAATTACAAATGCCCATTGAAATTAATGTTTTAAAAAAATTTAAAGAGAAATAGCTGAAGTACAATCGTTGCACTTGAAACTCATTTCAAGTGCCGGGCTGACTTTTATCCTGCAGGAGAAAACTGTACAATACACATACGACAATATGAGGCAAAATTTGTCAAATAAACATAACCCTTCTAAAGAAATTTATGTGGTTGGAGAGGATCGAGTTAAATACTTCTAAATAGAAACTTTGCTTGTCTGTTTGTAAATGCAATAAACGTCATAAGAGCTGAACCGATAGCGCCCAAATTGTGTGTGGGACGTTACATGACCCCAAGGAAGGTTTATGATCAAAATTTAAAAATTAGCCTCCAACAAAGTTCGATTTTCATAAATTTTGAAGATTCACGACATTTTTTATAAAATCCGCAAACTTTTTGTTTTATTTTTTTTTTACAATGTAAAGAGAGTGAAAATGTTCAATTGAAATAGAAGATAGGAGCGAAGCGCCCTGAAAGCAGTTATAGACGTTTTACTTAAATAAGTTTATTATCAATAAAATTAATTCATTAATATTCACTACTTTCTAAATGAGAAAAATTACAGAATAGAAATGATTTGTCAGTGTAATTAGGTAATCTGCTCGTCGTGTAATCCTAGAGAGAAGGGGGAGAAGGGATCGATGTAATTCATTAAATTTACTGCCTCCCATTTTCATGGATTTCTACTGTTTCCGGTTAAATCATTTTATGTTTACTTTACTAGACTTGAAGTACTTTATACAACATTTCTAATCTAATTTCTAAAAGGAGAAAATCTGAGGACAAATAAAAAACATAAATATATTATTATATTATTAATTTAATGAAAAAGTGAATATTTTCCCCATCGATTCAATTTTAGGTTTTTACTTTAAAAGATTTATCCGCCTGAAAATATATCTTGTTCTGGGTAATAAATCATGAGAAGCTTGAGAGTGTAGAGCTGGTTTTTTTTTCATTATTTTATTTTAAAACTTTAAAACTATTCATTATGTACATGTATTCATTTTTAACTGGAAAAATACATGCGAGACCGAAAATTTAGAAAGCACATGAAAGAACAAAACTTTAGTTGTCTGCCTTGTGTCGATCATTTTAACTGTAGAATTTAATTAAGGAAGGCTGAAAAATTAAAATAAAGGTATCTTGCAAAAAAATCTATTTACAAAATTTTTCAAAGATTTTCTAAAAATTAATTTCGGATACCGCCCGGGACCGGATTAAATAAAAAGAAAAGAGTACAGTGGTAGGCGATTATTACAATACAATAAAGACGACTTTTTAATTTAAGTTTTGTTAACAAGCTTTTTCGAATTACAAGTTTATAAGTAACAAGTATGTGTTTCGCGGATCTGAAGGACGGATTCAGAATAAAAAGATTTATTTGATAAGGAGAGATAGAAACATCATATGCAAAGGATATTGGAAAACTAAAGGAACTAATTAATGTACGGCCTAACAATTGTCAGTAATATGAAAAGAAACATAAATGGTGACAGAATGTGCTCAGAGTATAAAGTTAATATAATACTCGGTTTCTGGTTAGGTTTGAAACCAAAGCTGGAATCGAACAGTGTGGAAGAAAACGTCTCCGACTAGTTGGCCGACCGTTCTGGTGCTTACTCTTCTATCCACCATAACGGGTAGTTTGGTTCAAACTAAACAGAGTTATACATTATAAACAGTGTGTGGAAGAAAACGTCTCCGACTAGTTGGCCGACCGTTCTGGTGCTTACTCTTCTATCCACCATAACGGGTAGTTTGGTTCAAACTAAACAGGATTATACATTATAAACGTAGAATGTAACCTCTAAATGAACTTAACCAGTGTAAACCAAACCAAAACACAGTGTAAAATCTATAGGACCTCTTGGTAAGCAATCTCCTCCACCCCATAGAAAGATGAATCAGATAAAGTAAACCACAGTAGAGGTCTGTTACGCGAGCCATGCTGCGTGTGTAAAGTCTATGTGGTGCCCCTATGAATTCCTGAGTTCTCCCTGCGGATCTGTACAGAACGTATTGTAAAAAACTAGTTTTAGAAGCTGTTTACAGACCAACTACGCATGCGCAAGTTTCTCGCGTGGAAGCGGACAGTTTATACCGTAGTTTATATTTGTTTGTCTTGCAAGTTCATCTATTTATTTTTGTGTCAAGAATTCTAGGATCACTGCGGTAATTATTCTTTATATATTATGAATATCATTTATTTATGTTCGGTTTGATATCTTGTAGATGTAATGTAGTGGTTCCATTCCACAGTTTTTTAATGCCCGAGTTGATTTATTTGCTGTATTGTATGATTTTATCACTCGATGCTTTTTCTGTGGGCTTATTAAAAATTATTTAGATTGAAGTCTCAGAGAAATAAACGTTCGGAACCTTATTATTATCCTTTGTCATGAAGAGCGTTCAGAAGAGCGAGTCTTACAATCCAATCCTGAGAAATACCGCACGGTACTTATATAGATTTCATTAGTCTTTAGGAAAATCGCTAAGTAGTGAAACAAGGACCTAAACACTTAATGGAAAGATAAATACTAACTCGAATTGTTCAGGTTGCAGTACAGATTAAGGTATACACATAAACCGGTTAAGAGAGACAAGTAATCAGCAACATCTCAGGGTCGAAACAGTATGTTTATGTGCTTGTCCATGCTGTTATAGCTTAATTTAAATCAAAATTAAAATGGAATGAAAGTCGTCTTTATTGTATTGATATAATCGCCTACCATTGTAGCTAACCCGTCAATATGAAGTTTAACCATCTCTATTGTGCGCTGGTTCAAGCTGATTAAACCACATACCTCCCTTTTCAAATATATATATAAATAATATATGTAAAATATGCAAAATGGATATCGGATTCTGTGACTGGGAGATGTGTAAATAAATAAATATCTTCCACAACCTGTGAAAAGAGGTATCGGTTCGGATAAACTAGACAGAATGCAAAGGTCAAAGAAATTGATTTTTTGCCTCAAACATAAATTTTCAAATCCTTACATCTGTGCAACTTGATGATGTAAACTTTCATCTTTCAAACTTAGCTTATCTTATCTATAAGAATTCATACTTGAACTATTTAATTACAATATTGGGTTGCAAAGATTAGAAAGGGATTAGAAAACCAGAGTTTGTGGCAAAAACTAAGTTCCTTTATACACCATTACTTGGCTGAATTTGGGACCCCGTAACTGTTCTAGTTTTGATTTTACGCACTAGTATGAGACAAGGAAATATATCTGGCTTCACATTAAAAATAAAAACATTGTAGTTCCTCTTAAAAGCTCTTTAATTAGGAGAGTTATGATTGAAAACTTATAAGATTTCAATCATTCCTGTACTTTACTTTAGTTTGGCGTGTATTTAATAGATATTTTTTTTTTAATATTATCTCACACTTCTTCTTTAACTAACCCCTCTTCCTCTTCTGTTTTATTCATTCTTTAATTTGAACTTTATTATTCCAAATTAAATTCTTTTTAAAAACGTTTTCTCTCTTCTCAATAACTCAATTCATTTATATTTTATTATTTTCCTTCTTTTTTTATGCTATAATTCCCACCCCCCTTTTCTTCAATCATCTTTTTTCTTTCTTCTTTTCAAATTTTAATCTTGATTAATTTTCAAAATCTACAGTATGAATCTTTTAAAAGATTTTTTCCTTTACTTTTTTTGAAAAAATCCAGTTTTCTGCATGAACAAAGAAAAAATCTGAGAAATATTAAACACAAATAAGGGTTGGAGGCTTTAGAACTATAAGCTCTTTGCAAACATTAATTTCAGAAGAGAAAAGGGGGACAAAAAGATAAAGAAATTAAATTTCAGAAAATGTAAAGAGACTCAGAGATCATCTATTCAAAGTGTACTAATTAGGAATTCCCGCGGAATGAAAAATCGTCGCGTCCAAATTCATGCAACAATTTATTGCAGCAATTTATGTAAAAGGTTTTTTTTTCGCGCAATTTTTATGCAGAATTTCCTTGCTAACTTTTTGATAACAGAGCCATTTTAAATCCACAATGTCGTTTTTAAACAACATAATTTGTTAGTTTGTATTTTGTACCACAATATGTTTGAAAATAGAATGCTTGAACAATTATCTTCCTCACATTTTTTTCATTTACATTATCTAAGAAATATTATTTTCTTCATAAACATTTTTGGTAAACACTCAACTATTTTGTTTTTCTTCAATGCAACGTACTTTTATGTTTACTGAATGAAGGTTCAGTGGAATAATGTTGATTCATAAAACTTAATGGATTTTCTTTGAGTTAAAATACTCGAATATCTATCAGGGACCAATCGGAAAAGATGGGAATAAGGGCGAATTTTAAAATGTGGGTCTAAAACTCTATTTTTGAAAAGCCCTTGAAAAATGGATATAGAAACATGTGTTTAAAACAAATTTTTTTTAAAAATTTTTCTGACCCTTTTTTTGGAGTTTTTTTCAACCCTCCTTGGCACCCAAACTATTAAAATCTCATTTTTTTTCAATGATTGGCATTGGCAAATTAGGTCATGCACATGCATTTCAACCCTATACCTATTCTCTGAGGCCTTTTCCTAAGGGGGGGGGGCGGCCCCCAGGCTATACATAGATTCAGACCCCCCAGCCTTTATAGGGTTAAAAAAATACATCTATATCTATACTTGTTGCCTATTTTTGTATCCAAAAAAATATCTTTGTTTTTAATTATTCAATCTCCATTTCTTCCATTTTTTAATGCATAAGGTTTTCAGGGCTTTTAAGGCGTCCTTCAGTTTTTAAGGTAACATTTTTATAAACCCTCAAACCCCTTTTATTTTCATGAACATTCCCTGTAGCCCAAACTTAATTGTAAAGGTAAATTATTGATTGGAAGCTAGATATGTATAGATTAGTCATTAAATATTAATCTTACAGTAATCCAACGGCTGAAAGCTTTCACGCAGAAATCGATGTAAATTTGGCCAGGTGTTTTATTAAGAATAAAGCCAATAACAAGTTCTTCTAGTTCTAAAATGTAAACGGAAACTAAAAGGCCAAGTTAAAGCTTCAAAGTTAACGCAATCTTGAAAATTGATGCAATATTTCGTAGGAGTCTGGATCTATGTGATCTCTCTGGAGGACTCGACTGAGATGTTATATTGATCCCCATTCCCCAGGAGGAAAACAATGCACTAAATAAAAACTTTAAATACACAAAATGAAAATTTGGATTTTCGATTCATTGTCATGCACTGGAGACTGGAGAGACACCTTTTTATTAAATCAAGAGTTGATCTGGAAGCTTAAATTATTAACGATGATAATTGGTTTTCGTTCTTTTCTCTCGAAAAATTTGAAGAAATATGAGAATATGAGATAAAAAACTATTACCCACAGATTCTTAATTTCAAATTATGCTACATCACGCCTTTTAAAATTGCTGTTATGGTGACAATATGTTTACACAACATGTGAAAAAGATTTTGCAGACAAATTTTATATTTTTAAAATCTATTTATTAATAAAATCTCTAGAACATCAGTTTAAGATTTTGCAAACAAATTTTATATTTTTAAAATCTATTTATTAATAAAATCTCTAGAACATCAGTTTAAGATTTTGCAAACAAATTTTAATCTATTTGTTAGTAAAATCTCTAGAGCATCAGTTTAAGATTTTGCAGACAAATTTTATATTTTTAAAATCTATTTGTTAGTAAAATCTCTAGAACATCAGTTTAAGAAAAGAAACAGTTTAGTTGGAAAACTTTTTCTATTAAAAGTTTGCCTCTTGATTCTAAATTCATTATTATAAATTAATGACGTAGGATAAAATACACTTTCTAGTTGGGGAGTAGTCGGAGTAATATTAATATTTTATCTTAAGACATTCTTGATTTTTTATGAAAAAACTTTTGTAATTTGTTCTTAAAAAAGCAAAGCTTTTTAAAAATGGTAAAAATTAAAATTTATTTTTTAATAATCTGATCTCGGACCAAAACAAATCATAAATTAGAGAATCCTGTTGTTAACATTTGGTGGTAGCGTACGCTTGATTAAATACAGAATAGAATTTAATTTAGGAATCTTAATTAAGCTCTAAATCAGTTTAAACCAGTTTTATCCTTAAATGTACTGTAAGCGTAATTTCAATTAACCCTCGATGAAAAGATGGCATTGCTCGATTTACAACGGTACCCTTAAAACCTTTGTTAGATATGAGCACAGAGATATGTGTGTATATTTATCGGACCCCGCTTGTGAATCCAAGTGTGTAGGCTTACAATCCCTTTGAAAGAGGATAATTTTGCCATCATAGTTTTTTTTTGAAGCATGTTTCTCAGGAATAAAAAATATTCTAGAACAGTTATATATAAACATGTCTGTAAAAACATACCCCGCGTACTGCATGTACAATAAACGTATACATAGATTAAACTGTACTGAGACACTGTTGATAGGGTTTAAGGTAAGTTCCCAAAGGCCTTTTCCCAAGGGCAAATTCCCAAGTAGAGTACAATCACAGGAGTGCACTGTCAGATACTATCTATCTATTATACACTGTTTTAGAAGTTATTATGTAAATAGTTTTTAGGGTTTTGAAGCCAACAGTAGAAAAAAATATTACATTATTTTTACAGAAATGTGAATTTTTATGAACAAAGTTATGGTTATGGAAATTATGTGCATGTATTTAACTACTATGGATGCATGTACACAAGTGGGTTACTTTTAATTCAGTTCTATGTACCAAGTATCAGCAGAACCAATTTAAACTTTGATTAGTTTTCATCAAAGCTGAAATCTAGTTATGACCAGATACTGGATACGGGATACACAATTTGAGCTGGGTACTTTTGTATTGTGGATATCGAGATCAATGCTAGATATCTTTTTCTTGTTAATCTGCAGATTAATTTAATCTTTATTCGATATCTCGTATAATCGTACCCTGTTGGAATGACTATAATGAAGAGATTAAACATTAATCCCCATTGCCCGACTGCATGTGGAACTGTAAACTTCAGGTTCATTTTAAGTACCGAGCCGACTTTTAATCAGCTAGAGAGCAAGCTGTACAGTTCAAAAATAGACTATACTAGGAATAACGGGACGGTATACCAATTAAATGATCCCATTCTAGTGAAATGTTTGGTAATGGTGGATATTGAGATTAAGCAATCGGGATGATTAGTATACAATACAAATACATCACACAATACATCTAATGATTAATATTATATAGATACATGTGTAAATAAGCGTGAACCATCTATTATTATTAATGATTTGGTCTCTCTGTAAATGAAGCTGTTAAAGGAACATTAAATATAAAATATAATGTAAATTTGTACATAAAAGTATTAAAAAGTGAATGAAAGTAATGGAAAGGAAATTATGTTTACAGGAATAAATTGTACGTTGTACACTTTGTAAAGTACATTATATAGCTATTATAGTTTCAAACTTGAATTTGAAAAGATTTTTTAAATTTGAAAATATTTAAATTCATGGCATTTGTATTTTACTTCTGAAAACATCAAGATAAACAAGGAAGAAACTTCTTTCAACAACAATCCCATATCTTTCCTGTCCTTCTCCACCCCCCCTCCCCCCTTTTATTCATATTCATGATCTTTTCATCTCTATTCCTTCTCCGTTCCTCATATTCACTGTCAACTCTGTTTAATGTTAAGTACAGGACCCACTTTATCCAGCTAAAGCACGCTGTACAATACACAAAATCGGTTTATTCATTTCGACGTTTTTTGGATTCAAACGTGCATGTACTGTCTTATTTATTATCCTCTTCACAGTGCACGGGTTGGAACTGCGTCACATTTGATACCAATGACGTCATGCTAAATCTCTAATAAACATCGTTGTCAATTCAGCTTCCGTCAATAATCAGTTACGTCACATTGTTGTTTTGAGTGTTTATAGATATGAAGAGTAGGGCGGATACAGGATTTAAGTGAGGGGGGGGGGGCAAGATTTTTTAGGAACAAAAAAATTCCTAAAAAGGAACAAAAAATCGCGCCGCACGCGAAAATTTTTTTTGACTTAAAAGACTCAAAAACTGTCAAAATTAATGATTTAGGAACAATAAAAAGATTGTTCAGGAATAAGGAACAAAAATAAAGGATTAGGACAGGGATCTAGGAACAATAAAAAGATTGTTCAGGAATTAGGAACAAAAATATATGATTAGGACAAGGATTTAAGGTGGGTCGGACACAGTATTAGGAACAGGAACAATAATAGGAACATTAGCAATTTAAGAACA